TTCAAGAAAAGTGCTGTCAACTTCGGTCAACATTTACCTAACAAGCAGGAGGAGGAATGTGACTCCCTAACTACCTGTATCTTAGCAATCCTGATTTGTTGTGTGCCTCAAGGGCTAGGTAAACTGAGAATCAAAACTGCAAATTAGTTATGAAATACTTGATGGTTATCCAAAGCTAAACGGAATTACTTGGGTACAACTCTGGAAGAGCTCTCACACTAACAAAGCGATTCCTTTCCAGTATTAAATACACTGACACAGAAAACTTGTATTTATTTTTCTCTCAAGAATATATTGTAGGACGAGGAATCACTATCTGAGAAATTACTAAAATCTTGTAATAACCACAGTAAATAAAGCACACTTCTTGTACGTGTGTTGTAACATTTCATTTTTAGACAGGGATCTAATAAGCAAAAGTTCTACCATACTTACACTCCACATAACAGAGGGACATATTTACACAACGCTTACAATAGAATGCAAGACTGTTATAAACCTTTCTTCCCCCTAACCCCTAAAAATTTGCAGCAGGGGCTGAAACTCAGGGTAGTTCAAACTCAGGTAGTTCAAATCACAATTTTTTTCCTAATAAAGCTAACACTCCCTCTATAATCAATGGAGACAGAGTGCCTCGCTCAGAAGGTGGAAAGCAGGCACATCATACTCCTTTGAAACCACAGTCTAAACATCCCTCTCCTCAGACTAGAGAAGCTGCTTCAAGAGATGAGCCTCCATAGGCCAGAGGTAACCTCTGTGTGTGTATCCCACACTTCCCTCCTCGCTTCGTCATGAGCTGGCCAAGAAATGGAGTAGTGCGCTTTATGCAAGGATCTCAGATCAGGATAGGATCTGACAAACCTTCGCCAGACTGCATCAACTGGCCAAATTCTGCTATATATACGTATCTGAACTATAACTCTGTGACCTGCCGCACAAGCCTGGAGTGTGATGCGCCCCAGGTCCTGTGGTCACCTTTAACACAGCACAAGAGACGGAAGAACCTATACATATGTACGGCTGCTGGCTGCGACAGCCAGAGATAGGGAGACCTATAACATCGCGCTCCGCCCTTCCATCTTTGCTTTTCCCTCCCCTTTCTTCATTTGTTCTTTCTCCGCGAACCTGGCCCTCACCAAAAACCTCAATGAAAATATCTTTCAGATGGCCCAAAACATAAACAGGTTTATTTGGTCTCAGCTCCAAGTATTTGGAAATCCCAGGTCTTTCCTCCCTCCACACGTTTTCTTCTGCTCTTTCGTAGGAAGTAAAAAAGCTACTAAATCATGGTCTCCCCTAGCATCCAGCTGTCTGAGATTTCAAATACCTTTGTATGGTAGGACAGTACCTTGTGCCCAAGCTGAGCTGCCTCTCCTCGAGCTGCAGTAGCTATGGGATCAATGAGGTGGCCAATTTCCTGGACGACCGATGTCAGCTGCTCCTGTAGAGCCTAATACAAAGAGAAATCATCAGTTACTATCACAGCTGTTCTTTTATCAAGTTGTACCATACCATAACAATCACCCTCAGACCAAACCAACATACTCAGAACACTGTTCAAATGACCCACTATGGTAGGATGCAGAAATCCACACTGTCGGCTTTCTTTACGTACTTGCTCATTTCTCCTCCTTTACCCTGTTTCAACCACAAGAACCCTGAAACAGGCCTGCTCCTCTTCAGATTTATATGGCAAGTCTGGAGAGAGAGGGGGGAAGATGGCTCCCTCCTACTCCAGCTGACAGTACTCGGGAGTAGGTGTCCTTTCTCACTGCAATGTGACAACCCCCTGCCCAACCTATTCTTGCCCTGCCAAAGATTTAGTATCACTGCACTGATCAGAGAAACCAGCAGGAACTCCGATTTAAATATGAAGAAACCTTCTTCAAAGCAGACAATACAGCCCAAGAGCAAAAAGCTCTGCTGTAGACTTTGAAGACAGCAGGAGAAATTCACCTATAAGGGAAGACAAAGGAAAAATAAGACATCTCTGAGGGACAGAGATGTCATATGAGTGACAGCCTCTTTATATTAGGCTCTACAGGAGCAGCTGACATCGGTCATCCAGGAAATTGGCCACCTCATTGATCCCATAGCTACTGCAGCTCGGGGAGAGGCAGCTCAGCTTGGGCACAAGGACATCTCTGAGGGACAGAGATGTGGACTGACCTCCTGAATACCATCAGAGGGAGAGGAACATAAGAAGAGCATATTACTGGGCTTGTCGAGATATAAATACTGGCTTTTAATTCAGAGCCACTTAATGTCTTGCCAGCCGCTGGGATTTAGCTCACTCTCATGAAAGGCGAGAGAAAATAAATACTATTTTTGCACTTCATTACATTCCTGAACTGCTTTATACCAAATAACTGCCATAACGTTTACTTCAGTTCGACATGGTGTCCAAGATGACTTCATTATTTAAACAGAAAAGAATTATATCTATGACTTATTTCCTGTAATAACTTCTTTTGTATAGCTTCATTTAGTCTGAGATGTTTCTAGTATGCAGCTTTACAGCCCAAAGAAACCACTGGAATGCAGAAATAGACGTGTAATTTCAGGAAGCAAAAGTACAAAGAGAGACTAAATATCAAGCTGAGAATCTGGTTATGACTTTTCGTAGGCAGTCTGGCATGATGGCCCTTCCTCAATTAGATAATGGCTGAAATAGCACAGGATTGGTCTACATTACCACGGGGGGGGCGGGGCAGGCTTTTTTAATGATATCAACATCAACTCCAGATTTCACTTACTTAATGACAAAATAGGCATTAAGAAAAATGAAATAGACATTTACATCACCGGACTTAAATAATACTTCCACCCCTACTTTTGCCTGGTGATTCTGGTATCTTTCCAGAAGTGATACACTTTGTCCGGCACGTGATTTTGCCTAGAAAGATTCCAGTAAGAATACTTCTCCCCTCACTGGCAGATTGTGCCGAGTGCTCATCTCCAAATCTTCAAATGAAAAGCAAAGCAGCAGGGTAAGTGAGGCTGCTCAGCATTGCTCTGTCTGTTCCTGTGCTATCTCCCTTACCTCAACTGAGATGTCATCCCTGGTGGCCAGACTCTGACTGACGGCTGCAAGGGAGGCCTGCTCAATGTCTCTGATGCATCTGTTGATCCCATCAATGGAGAAATCACATTCTCGCTGGCCTGGGGCCTTGTCCCTGAAAGACGGAGATAGCAAGCTGAGCATGGTGGGAAGGAGGCAGGCTCTTTCATGAATGCACAGAAGCATACTTCATTACCTGACAATACATAAAGCATGTGGGAGGAGAACAAGGACGAAAGTTAGCTTTGTTCTACCTACAGGATTTTGATGTATGTACAGAGTACTCTGCACACTTTCACACACGCACATCGCTCCTCTCTTAATGATTAGACAGAAAAAAATGTGTTACCTCAGAATAAAAGTGCAAATTCCACCTCCTCGGGATGGCCAGACTGGCCCAATAATGGAGGTCAACATGAAAACGCAAGACAGCAGGAAAAAATATTCATGTTTCTGTACAGCGCGATTGACTGTCTCAGAAAACAATTCCTTAGGTATTAGATGTTACGTTCAGTCCAAGGTATCTTTTAACAAAGGTTAAGTTTCTGAGTACTTTGTCCTGACATGCAGTTTGCTATTTCGGTACAATCATTATCAAAAATCAATGAATCTGTAAACACTCCTTAGTTCACTCTTTTCATACCATTTTGATTTAATCAATATTAAGAGGTTAAGTATAGAACTACACTTCAAAATTTTCAGTAATAAAGGGATAGACAGGTTTAGTCCAAAAAATAAAGAATATTCACTTCTTGCTACAGCATTCTTGCAAGTAAACTGAGAACACTATAGTAAAGAATAGATGGCAGAGGTAATTTATACACCGTCTGACCCACCTTTAAAAAACATGTTGGTCTCCATGTACTATATGTTGGTACGTGACCTGGATGGAGGTAATATTAGCTACATGTTTTTTATTCTACAGCATTCTCTATTACATTTACCTTAAACTGAACTGGAGGTGGAACCAGGGAAGGAGGACAGAATACAAAGAACAACCCTATGCTGCAGAGTGCTGCAGTCACTAATTACGATTAAACACCCAGCATAACTGGAGAGATATTGTGCATCACGCAATAAATAATTCCCATTAGTCAAAAATACCACAGTGTTAATGGCCATATGGTATTATTCTTTATGAACGACTGCTCAATTATTACGGCTTAAATGTGGACACAAAAAAGTTACTACAAAAGACATACCTGATAGAGGTGATAAGACTCTTGATAGAATCTGAGACAGTGTGGGAATGCCCAGCTAGTACTGACCACGTAGGAGGGTCTTTTGGATTGATAGCCAGAGAACGAGCAGTTTTGATCAATAAAGACGAGCTCTCCAACATTGTTTTAGCAGAAACTAGAATTGGTTCCTGTGCTCGCGATCCCTGTGGTCAGAAAGGTACAAGAACACAAAGAACATTTAAGTAATTATTTGAGTTCATCCACACTTTCTTCTCCTAAAAATCTGTTTAATTAATTAACAGCATTAAAATGGCATTATCATTTCTCGTATTATACTATTTGTTCACGGATAGTCAACACGGAAATAGTACTAAAATCATCGCAGTCCAATTGTTTTCTCTGAAACATACTTAAGAAACACTTCTCGAGTTTAGAAAGGCACCATCCAGCTGAGAAACAGAAGAAAACAATGACACTTGTCTAGTCGTAGACTAAGGAGACATCATTGAAAGTAAACTTTATTTGTCACAAAACTTGCAAGATCCAACCAAGCATGCTCTTTTCCCAGGAATTAGTTGGTCTACAACACTCTAATTGGGTCATCATCTCCATATCTATTTTATCGCCAGTAATCTGGTAAACCCAGGTACCACAGGCCTGGAGGACAGGCTTAAATTTCAGTTACAGCCCCACAACTTTAAGATTGCAACAGTTACGGCATCATCTGATATTGCAAGCTGGAACAGAGGCTGCCAAAAGCAGGAAAGAGCAGTTGGAGAGTCAGTAACAATACATGGCCTCTACTTTGAAGCTTTTATGAAGCTTGATGGATTCCCCCCAACTCCCACCCCCCCCCAGACCCCCAAAAAAAACCCCAAAACCTTTATTAGTTACTTTAAATACCATTCTGTTGTAGTTACAGGGGTTGGGGACGGAAAACTCAGGAAAAAATACGGAAGGCCCCCAGAAAGTTATTCTTCCCAAACCCCCTGCTTCTTGTCATTATGACTGCATCATTTTTGGAAGGAAAAAACCCCAGTGACATCCTTTCAATCCTTTTCAGAACTAATTTGTTAAAGCTGCTCTTGAGGGAAAAAGGGATATTTATTACTTTATCACATGGAAGAATCTGGCTAACAAGACATGCGAGTCACCTGTATTGTATCACTTTACAGTGCCAGGAGACTGGCAGCGCTTACTGCAGCCTAACTAGTTTTATCCTACTGGTGCAAAATTCAAGGTCAGAGGTTAAGCGAAAGACAGCAGAACGCCCTATGAACACCCAGGAACACAGAGAGACTTTTCGGGGTCAGGTCTTTACACTCACTCCTCTCTCCTGACACATGATTAATTCAACATTTTCAACTTTTTGAGGGTGAAAGTGCGGCATCCTGCCTTACCTCAGTGCTGATCTGTGCTGGTATGCTGACAAATTCTGGATTTGAAGCAAACGCTGTCAGATTTTCCACAGCCTCTATCAAAGGTGCAGTAGCAATTCTGCACTTGTTGCGGTTCTCTTCAGAGAAATCGCCATCCAGGGCCTGGAAATTAAATCATGATTGAGTTCTGTCTGAATGGGTTCCTTTGCAAAATTGAAGGAAGATGGTTTAATTCTTCATAGTTTTAAACTGTTGTGTGCTTATGCCATGTGAAAGTTCCCCCACAAACAAGGCTGATGCAAAGATTGTTATCCTTTAAGCGTCTGTTTCTTTACTTACCTGGTTATCGACCCCAAACTTAAAACTTTGCTTTGCTTCACAAGACCAAATAAAGATTTTCTATCATTGCACTCTGATGACTCTCATAAATTGTGTCTCGGCACCTCATGCTCCAAAGGGTGGAAGTGGCTAACATGGTGGTTCTTTCCTATAGACTGATTTTTGAAATTTTTTTTTTTTTTAAGCAAACCAGTAATTTATTGCTCTCATTTTCCCACGAGTCAACTGATCTCTTTCATAATCTCATAGGAAAGATTTCAATATGAAGGACCTTCTGTGTAACGTAATAGAAACCTTCCAGTCCTAAGAGCATAATTATTTTAAAAGACTTTCAGCAGCAGACCAGCTAATGGCTTCCAGAAGAGTTTAGAATCTTGAGTTCTCTACGGCTTAACAAGTATTATTTCTGCTTGCATGAGGAAAAGCTACCTCCTGCCAAATCGCAGGCAGGCATCTGGAAAATAAAAGATTACTATTAACAGGAGACTTTTATTAAAGAGCTGCAACATAAATGGCTTTTGTTTGGTCCCCAGTATTATTTGTTTCTTTATTTTTCTCTTATAAACATGGTAAAGCTGTCAGAAATACCTCCACAAACCTCCAGATATTGAGCAATGTAACACCATTAAAAACTTTCACATTCAGTTGTTTGCAAATTATTCTCACGGTGCAAGCTTGTTAAATACATCAACACAGAGGTGTCTCCTACTGGATGGGCCAGTTGCCTCTCCTAACACTAATATTGCCCAATTCTTTCCATCTTGACTACGGCACAGTTATACCACTGAACCTGTTTTCCAATTCAGGTCTTCAAAAATGTAATTAATGATTTCTTAAACCACACATATCGCAGAAGGTAAAAAGATATTTCTAACTGTTCTGATTCTGTCTTAACAGAAAAAAAAAAAAAAGAAATAAAAACACAAAGGAAGATGGAAGCACAATTAAGCAGCATTTGTACCTTGATAGTTTTAACCAGGTTAGCAGTGCTGTTTGCAACTTCCTTGGCAGACTGCACAAAGTGTCTCTTGGCAACAGGATTTGCTGTCTTTGATGAAGCAATGCGACAAGCATTGCACAAAGCAGAAGTATGTTTGGCCACAATTGTGGCAGCTGATAATACCTGTAAAAATAGATGGCACAAAACAAGCAGATTGTCAAAGGAGCATGACAGTTACTACACTAGCTCTGCAAAGTCACAGTTCAAAGTCATGCAACAGTTTCAAACCAAAACTCCTTTGCTTGGTCACAAATAAAGCAAAGTCACATGTCCTAACAATGATGGTCTCACTGCAATCCTCTGGAATCACCTGTGATGGGCTGCTTGCTGGATCTACCAAATTCTGGCAAGCCATCTGGATTGCTTGATTGGCTCTGGCAAATTGAATTGGGTCAACAAGACCCTGCTGACCAGCCTGACTGTTTGGATCCGAGATGCCAACCAGGTAAGCAGCCTAGAAATGGAGAAAGGAAGAAAACAATCCTAAGAAACAATGCTAAATCTGTCTTGGTTCTTTGATAAGCTTGCCATATGTCATAGCACATGGTGGTCAGAGATTATCCAGAAATCATACTGTGAAGTACTACTAGCATTTTTTTTTAGTAATAAATCTCCAGAATCCTCTGAAACCAAGGAAACTTACCCTTACACTTGTGAAATTTATTTAGTCAAAACAAAACTCTCCACTGTTTAAGCAGTTGGTATCCCTGGAGATGTTATTTTCCACTTGCATAGCCAATGGAAAGAGCTTTAATGGTCATTGCATCAGCAAATTATTTACTGGATTAGCCACAGTTGGAGGTCGTGAGGGTTTTCATCAAGGCTGAGTAGAAAACCAATTCATAGCAAATGTACTACTGCTGAGTGTAAGACCCATCAAGTCTGCAGTTGCTGGTCTCACTGCAGCTCAAGATGTCTGATGGGCAAACTTGATTTCTTTCTCAATTAAATAAAAGTTTCATGCCTCTCAACAAGGAGGAATTGTCTGAACTGTCAAAACCATATCTGAAGATTTCTTGATGAATTTCCATTACAGATACAATTATCTGTCACCTTGATATACCAGTAAGGCAATGAGGGGTTAGATGTGGAGGAGATTAAGTCCGTACTGAGACATTCCATATTTGGAGAAATCAAGAAGCGGTTTCCAGATACAGTGCATGATCGCCCACAGCCAAATCCTTCACTGAAGAGGCTGCATCAGCTCTCAATGGTTCAAGTCACGCAGTTATCAGATCAACAAAACCAGTTCCAGACTCTAATTTTTTGTAGTAGCTTAAGAATTTCAGTTATTCCGAAAGTATCTGAACAGCTGAAACAGGTTGCTTATTATTTAAAATGTCTGAAATTAGTAGCGCTCCTTATGAATTTTTACAAACTAAATCAAACTTGATTCATTCATTTTAACTGTGGCTGTTTTTTGTGCGCTTATCTATGAAGTAATACTTCAGAGCTTGAGCTGCAAACATGAATTCCATATGCTGCAGCTTTGACATTTGCTTTATCCTCAGAAAAGTTTCCTTCTTGATGTAATTTCCCTTCCTCATAAAATATGCATGTTATTGCACTCTGCTGCTTGTGCAATGTACAGCAGTGTATGCACAATTTCTGTGGACCTACACAGAGCACGCCGTGTAGTACAAGGTCATCATTTGTTTGGCCACAAGGAAGGGAATCTCAGATTTACACATGCACAACATGAGCTTTCCAAAAAAACAAAAACATATACTTGCTTTACAGACTTCAGTCACTTACCTGAGCTGCTGCCTCTGTAAGGCCACAAAGAGCCTTGGATGCAACTCCAACACATTCTCCAAAGACTAAAAGATCCCCAGTTTTTGCATTCTGGGAAATGCCCGCCATTGATTCTCCAAGAACCTCAGAAATGAAAAAAAAAGTTACGTTCCCAATATGCTTCCCTATCACTCAAAGGCAAGTGATTCCTGGCCTTGAGCCAATTCTGGCCCACAAACCTCTTTGAATTGGCTTCCAGAAATTTCAGCTAGTTAATGACTTCACTGAATTGGGCACATTCCTCTTTGTGGCGTAAGGGATAAGGCATGCAGATCAACACTGGATTGACAGTGCTGAACATAAACACTATTATAGTGCAAACGACTACGAGGATACAGAATTAACGCTCCTTATTTTTGTTATCATCCAGTAGTCATCACAGCTAGCCTGGCGCTAGGTACATTTCACAGATTGCAGAACTTGACAACAACTCCCCACAGCTGCTGTCAACACATCTGGGATCTTCTTTGCCCCTAAACTCACTGAAACTCAGTGGAAATGAAATTGCATCTAGTCTGCTGGAACCATCTGAATGACAGGATACACATTAATTGCCACAGGGTCTCCCACTTGAATTCAGTTTATTTTCTTTTAAAATTCAAAATAAGATCTGACTGTAGTAGAGCATTAGATCAAGATGACATGCACATCTATTAAGCACTTTCTTTTTCTCTTAGAGAAGGAAGGATCTGAGACAATTCCAACACATCAAATAATGACACCAAAAGCAAAGCTTCAAAGAAAGATGTATAGCATGGTACATTTAAAAATAACTTAAGAGATTTCACACAGATTTTCTGATGTGCTGGAATATCTGGACTGCTCAGACATTTCTCTAAGCTGTTTTGCACATACAAACAATACAACGATACTTCATTGCCAAGCCTCCCATTTACGCTTTGGGCCGTTCTAACACAGCTGCAGTCAAAATATATCGTGAAAGTATGACATGCTGTCTAATACACAGGAGAGGAAGGGAGAAAGGGGGAAACTAACAGCATTACATACCAGTCACTTAAGTAAAAATTTCTTACCGAGGCAATACGCCTTCCAAGTGACCAAAAACTGAAATTACCTGTAAGAGACCCATCTCAGGCTGAGCTTTATCAAGGAGTGCAGCATACCTTTTAGCTATAAACACTGTGCTGTGTTTCTAACATGTCTGATGCATGTGGAAACTTCCAATAATCGAAATGCACTTTACAATTGGCACAGAGGCGGGAAAAGGAAATTACCTTTGAGTTTTCCATTACACCCTCAATACAATCAAAATACGAGAGATCGCTCACAGGTTCATTGGGGTTATCCAGCATTCCCTTAACTGTCTGAAATAATGAAAGATACTCTGATTATTGACAGAGGCTGAAATACTGAGCTGAGAAGAACATAGACCATCACAACTATCCTGCTTATACCAGTGTAATCTTTCAACTTTGTCTCCAGCAAGCAAACAAAACTACACACTCACTGAGGGCTCACACACAGATGAGCGTGCTACACATTAAATGCTACCCTACATTAACTGAACTGCGGTAACTACACATTTGTGCACTACGAATCTGTTGGAAGTATAGGCTAATGTGGTTTACCTTGTGTTTGTGATGAGTGATTTATGGTCAGTTAGTGATGCTCGGGTGACATGAGGTAATCTGGTTTTCTGTCAGTTGTCAACAGTCTAACACGTTTTCAGTACTATTATAAATTTCATAAATGGAATTACAAGTGCAATAGGAAAACCAGCTACCATTTATTGCGTACTGTCTAGAGACACAAAGGGCTACCAAACTAAGTGCAAGTCAACCACCTGCCTGCCTCTTACTACTGTCAACAGATTCCACCAACACAGCTCCCTCTGCCAGAAAACTACATATACTACTTGGGTTTAATTCCTTTTTCTGAGGTGATTCTGATTCCTGGAAATAATAACGTGAAAGTCAGTCACATATTCATTGAGAAGAATCAATACATTTAGATAACAAAACTTACAAAAAGTTGTAAAATGCAGCAGACTAATTCTCTTCTACATAAACAAATCTGCAATATGCCTTTTTCCAAGTTTGGAGGAACACTATTTTCTGCCAAATATGAGGTAGAAAAGACTTTTAATCTTTCCGATGAAAGCGAAATCCGTAAGTATAGAAAGATACTAACATCTGTATCTGACATTTGCCTTCCACCTGAAGGAAATCTAGGCATGATTTTAAACCCTTAGACTTTTCTCATAACTAAACTCCTAACAGTAAGATACACCTACAATATTTTTAACAGCTCAGCTATTGCTTTTTAAAAGCTATAGTTTAACTTAAAGCCTTACAGCAACTAAACTGTGAGAACAAGGTGATGTGAGGAAGAAGTCATATCTAGAAAACAGTTTCCAGTTGCGTCTTATCTCTTTCTCAGTTCTCACAGACATTGCAGCAACTCTTCATTGTTGTGCTCCATCTTTAAATAACAAGTTGTAAAGCAAACAACGTTCCTGCAGTACTTGCACTACTATGGAGACAGAAGCCCTCGGAACATAAGGAAACAGAACAGCGAAACACAAGCCAGCACAACTTCCCACTGACATATATTTGCTACTACTGTAACACCTTTGTTAATCCTTTCAGCTGCAATTCTGGGCAAGTTTAGTTATCTCATTGGAGGTCATACAGTAAAGTCCTCTCTAAACACAGTTTTCCAGAGTCTCCAGGGAAGACTACAGAGCATGCTGGCAGTCTCTCAAATCCAAGCTGAGACACACTCTTTCTACAGAAACAAACCTTTTTAGTACTTTTAAGAAGCCTTGGAGAGACTAGGAATAGTAGGCGATGAATTAGGGAAACGAAGGGAAGAATTAAGAGCTCAATCATTGTAAAGAGATATTGAAAGTTAAGACTACTAAGAATGCTTACCCCAAAATTTGATAGCTCCCTCAGGTCACTTTGATACCAGTCTCCAGTCTGGCTTCAGGACTGTGTGGTTTTGCCTCAGTTTCCCTTTTCTCATAAATTAATCTAATTTCATACACCCAGGCTTTTCTCGCTAACTGTCCCTCTCAGGCAAGTGTTTCCTAAAGTTCAAGATGCTACAGATCTTCCTTCTGCCCTTCCTGGACTCTGCTTGCAATCCATGCAAGCCATGCTATTGGCATAGAACCCTCTGCAATGGCTTCTTAAGGCTGTTCTGCCCTACATTTCTCCCCTAAGCTCTCAGGTTTTTGTGGCTTATTAGCTGGGAATTCTGACCCTTCACATTCCTGCAGTTTTGCAGACCTCTCCCCATTAGTCTTTCAGGAAGTCCTAAGAAATGGCACTTCAATCCCCCTGCTTGCTCCACCCCTACATTCTGCAGTGATTTCAGGCAGCCATTACATTACAGCCCAATTTCCATTTTTTTCTTTCTATTACTTGGACTTGCTGCCATTCCCTTTAACCAAGGGGAGAACACTTTTAAGCTCAAGAAGCTAAGAATTCAAAAGTATGAAGCAGCTCCTAGACAAACTCCTACCAATATTTTGGGATGATGACTGTGGACTTGCATATTACAAAAGCTCACGATACCCTGGAATGCACTGCAATGACCTTTGTATCCTTTTGATACCAAGGGGTAGAAATAGAAAGCTTGAAGGTGTTTTACATTCTCTACATAGGCCAGTCATCCCTCGATGTTCTGACCTTGACAGCAAACAAACATTTAGTTTAATTAAAAAGATGCTATTTCCTACTATTGTAAGCAGCTGTCTCAGTAATCAGTGCACAGCCTTAGAATTAGGTCTTTCAACTGACCTGCTACCCACTATTTAGCCAGCCAAACATTTCACTCACGAACCAGAACATACCTTGCAAAAACCTGTATTGACACACATGTCATATCAGCTTGGCTGTGAAAAAGCAGATATAAGGCATCAAAAATCTACACTAAGCAATGGCAGGGAGCAACAGGGTAAAAGATAGTAAACGTCATCCTAAAGTGGGATGTGAATATACCAACATTCTATAAGCAGAAAAATCAAGATACCGCAGCTCCCTCCAGTGCACTGCTGGTAGTGGGAATGTCCATCTTGTCACGATTCTTCCTTAATTCAATGTAAGTATGAATAATAAGGACTAAACTGTACCTTTTCAAGGGTAGGGAAGAGGAAATGGGGACAGGGCAGCAAATTTCATTCTGGCCAAAACTCCAAGATGTTCACAGAGATTCTATGCTTACCTCATATGCAATTAAAACCCCTGCCACAGATATGAGAAGACAGTGACAGCAGCTAATTGGACAAAGAAAACAAAGGAAACAAACATTTGGGGCCTATTTTTATTCATAAGAACTTTTGAAATGTAGTAATACCTCCAGTTCTCTGAGTGCATTATCACATTCCTTCTGCCCGGGAGCTTGCTGGGTACACAGCGTGATGAGCTGGTTTATACTCTCAGTCACAGCTCTAAGGAGAGTAGAAAGAAAAAAGGTACATTTTAAAGTTAAGCTATTCCTCTTATTAAAACTTTTTTTTCATTAATTATACACTGCATAAAGATTTAAAACTTTGATGTTCTACTACATTTTTTCTTTTCAGTGTTTGGGGATTAACCGTATGTTAGACAGTTCACCTAGAGACCACTTCTTTAACAAGCTTCACAGGAGCAAAAACATTCTCACTAAAGCATTTGATAGTGATCCACACCTGAAAATCCATCCCTTCAGTGCGAACAATTGTGAAGTTAGTCCAGAAGAAACGGAAGTTTCACCTCACAGCAACAAGTGTATTGGGTGTCTGTGGCAAGGTTTTTGTTGCAGGGGTGGCCTCTGTCAGAAGGGGCCAGGGGCTGCCCCCATGCTGGGCACAGCTAGTTCCAGACAGCTCCAACAGACCCACCACAGGACACAGCTGAGCCCAGCAGCCAAGCTGGGACTCTCTGGGAAAACTTGTTAAAAAAGGGCAAAACACCATCCGGCAGCTGGCCAAGGTCAACCCACTGCACTAGCACAGTGACATAACTTAGTTGCTAAAAGGTATTTTAGCACTTCTGCAGAACTCTCTCTCATGAGAGAGTTGCCCGTTTTTACAATGACGGTGGTGAAACGCTGGCACAGGTTGCCCAGAGAGCTGGTAGATGCCCCATCCCTGGGAACATTCAAGGTCAGGTTGGACGGGGCTCTGAGCAACCTGATCTAGTTGAAGATGTCCCTGCCCACAGCAGGGGGGTTGGACTAGATGACCTTTAAAGGTCCCTTCCAACCCAAACTATTCTGTGATTCTATGATAACATCAATAACAGGATTACCTAGATGGATGATATCATACTGCTACAAAAGGAAACAGGATGTGCTTATTACATATACACCAGGTTTTATGTTTAATTCCAGGGAAAAAAGAATGAAACTAATAGACATATTTGTTTAACTGAGACTCCTACCCTTCTCAGTAACTTTGGTGTCCTTGTGGAGCCATTTTTCCCGACTTCCTTTGCCTTTTAGGACTGTTACACATAAATGTCTTGTGTCCTGTCTGGCATACTGTATTATACACATGTAGTCCTGCTATACATTTATATAATCTGTTATCAAGTTTGTTTTTTTTCTTTACCTAATCATTGATATTCTCCAAGTCAATGCGTGTGTGTATACACAAATATTTTTACAATTATTATCTGTCTCTGAAAAACAACATGCATGGCTTCACTAACATAACATCAATACAAATGACAGATTCTCAACCTCCTGAACATCAGTGATTTTTATGTGTCAGAAAAATGTCATTGCATACAGACATATGAGTAGATAGCAAAAATGGAAGGTTCTGTTCACTCCCAGAGAAACGTCATACAAAAATATCTTGTCCGCTGTTGATTCTCATCTAAGAGAGACAATGCATGTTGACTCAGAGAATATCAGTAATTAAAGAAAAAACCCCGAACTTGATAACAGACTAGAATTGTCAGCTTTGTAGAGGATGCAATGTGGTCTCATGAATATCACTACTACACACCAGGTACCTGCATCCAGGAATACACCCAAGGTACAAGCATTACTTTTAAAACTATTTGGAAGCAGTAGAACCAGGAAGGTGGCCCCTCAAACACCAACCCAAGCGTTAGTGAGGCTGCTAGGACACTAAAAGCCCCATTTGTTTTCATCAAATACAGCATATAAATACTTGGATCCTGCAGGGAACTCAGCCACTGTTGCAGTCCTATGAGACTGTCAGAGGAAGTCAAGAAAAATGCCTCCACAAGGAGGCCAAAGCTACTGAAAAAGTTGGAGTGTCTATTATAGCTGGAACAAAGGGGGAAGAAAGGAAAGAAAAGACAAGAAGATTAATCACAGTACCATAGAAGATGAGAGAAAAAAGAAAAGATAAGCCATCTTATAAACAGGAAGCAAAGGAAGCTGTGCCTCTTTTTTCATTTTCATGAGAAAAGAGAAAGTAAAAATACTTGACCCTGACCATATCATAGCAGGTAAAGAGAACAGAGCCCTGGCAAGCTTGTCACAAGCAGCCATGGAGGATTTGAGAAGGGAAATACGGTGTCTCCTTAGCATCTTGAACACAAACTGAGAATTGATACAGTATTTACTTTTCAGGGTTATCTGATGTCTATGTAAAGTCTTATGCATGCAGCCACACATACACACACGCTAACAGCACGGCAAAATAGAACATCTAAAGGCTCTGCATGGCTTGTCTCCCTTTTTTAATTACACGCTTCTACAGAGGGAATATCAGCCTGGCAGAAACTAACAATTAACTGGGCTTCACTGGGGACACTAACTTCCTCTACGCTCCAAACAGGAATGCTCCAAGCCTAAAGCAGAAATCTGTAGCAGTCCGATGCTGCAGCAATAACAAAAGCTCAGGCAACTCCTTCACTTCTAAGCAGTGTGCCTTTGATTACCTACAATTTTCCTAGACGTTATTTATTTCTGGGGAGACAAAATGGATGTTGGAATTTTTTTTTTTTTTTTAAACAAATATGACAAAGTAAAGTAGCATAACTTCTTTAAGAAGTCCTTTATTAAAGGAGTGCATTTATTTTTTAAAAATAAAGTTATTGCTATTAGAAAGGGATGATTCCAAGATCCAGGACAAACAGCAGCTACATTACCCCAAGGAAGTAACAGTCTTAACTCACCTCCTCTCTAGGCTAACCTTTGTGGGTGTAAACATTTTGGAAGACAATATTATAAGTCACATCCACACGATGTCAGACGTTCATCTGATTTAATGTTAACATTTCTAGGTGTGATGCCTATCTGTCCTTCAGCAGTCCCCTTCCAGTTTGATATTTGAACATTTCATTTACGAACTTAGATAATCGAATAAAAAGTTAACTAGGAAAAAAAATATTGTGAAAAGGATCTGACAAAGTGAAGGAGAGGCGATTATCCAGCCAAACACTGAAATGTGGTGTTATTTTCCACATGAACACTGAGAAACAGGGTCCACAAGATGAAATTCAGGGCATGGTTGACAGAATCCTTAAAGTAAGGGTATCTTCCACCAAATAAACATAGCATTTAACCCTTTCACGTGTTCTTGATCATACACACATACACACTGTTAGTGATAGGCAGGCACAACATGATTTTTAAGCACACCCTATAGAAGAACATTATTCAATTTCTTTTCTTTGTTAGGGATTGAGAGGCTTACTGTTAGCTACTGCCTTGTCAGAACACAGATGGTAAAAAAACAGTAGGTAAAACACACTAGTCCCTTTCAAAAATCTGGCCAACTCTTCAACTGCTGCTTCTTATTTCCACAAAGGGTAACAAGTTATGCCAGTTAAGGAACAACTCCAAAATAAGCAGTTTTCCTCCAGCCTACTTTCATTTAAATAGAACTGCAGGTTCCAACCACTTGGTTAACTGTCAATAGCAGAAGAATATATATACACATTATAAATATCACAGAGAAAAGCAAATATCTTAGGAAAACCTAAAGCAAGCAACACATCCTTACCTTGCTGCTGCTGCTGCTAAGAGGTTCTTGGCATTAGGAGCTCCAGGATCAACAGAGAGCGACTTGGCAGCTAGTAACAGCTTGCTGGAAGCCATCGAGATGCTCTTGAGGTTACCTATTACTTGAATCTGGTCCTCTTTAGTCTGCAAAGCCACAACAGCATAACATTAAGTGCAGAGTTTACAATAAAGAGAGTGTGCTAAAACTACATTTGGAAATCCAATTTGTTTATCCACCTGAAACCACTGACATGCAGGGGACCATAGTCCAGAGAAGGACATGGACCAAAGCCTCTGTTCACCCAGACAGGTGCCTCCAGCTTCACTTAGATAACAGAAAAAGAAACCCATATAACAAATAGCTTGGTTTCTAACAATGGCAGTATTCACAAATGAGCAACGGAGAAACTTTACTACTTGTTGAACAATGCTTTTGTTGTCAAGATTCTCATGTGTCTCTGCCTGGCACAACTGATCCACATTATTCAGTCAGTGTACACTGTCTGTATTCTAGCATCCTCTGTGTAACCCACAGGCTCTCTAGCATCTAACTGGGATTACTCACACAAAGACCCCTCCAGAAAGTCCTCTATCCCCAGAAAATACGTTTCTATAAGCCTACTTTGGTAAACATTCTAACGTGGATTATTTTAAGCCTTAATTATCTATTGCTTATTTTAAGCCATTGCTTGAAAAGGAAAACCTGCATATACATACAACTACAGGGAAGTACTGCATTATCACAGCAAATAGCTGTGACTAGATTCTTCTGTCAATGATCACCCGTTCTTTCTAACAGTCTGTTCAGGGTTTTATGTAAAGAGGTCGCATATTACTCAGCTGACGTGAATAGCTTTTACTGTATATTTACATTCTGCTTCCTCCCTACCCCCCCATTTTGCTGGGCATCCAAAATACCTGGTATTGCTTCTGTTCAGGCCACATAGACAGAAAGCATTCTCTTTTGAAAGATCAGCCATTAGTAACAAAGATGGTTATCATCCCCTATGTCAGCAGGCTAAGCAAATCAGCAAGGGCCACAACGTCATCAGCAGCTGGAATTCTCTTTTCAAGTAGCTATTTGCGGTAGTATTTCTACCTTTGCCTTCATTGAATTGCCTCAAACAAAACATTCTAAAAGTCAATGAGGCCCACAGCTAAAAAGATAGCCAGGTACCTAACTCCTACTCAATTTCAGAGAATCAGCTGATATTCGGTGCCTAACTCACTTCATGGATCTGGAACCTGAATGATTAAGTTTTGATGGAGAAAAATCAGCAGTCATTGTCCGACCTCTCTACTCAGCTTTGCTATCTACAAAGCATCTGCTCTATAGAGACACTTCATAAATGACTTCAAAGGACTGGCACACTCAAAACTTTCTGGCTAGTCTTCTTTCAGCAATCATTTCTTAGGTTTGCAAGTTCCTCCTACTAACTAGGGCAAAACAGTCTGCAGGTTCTTTTTTCTGCAAGTCCTCTTAGCTCTCCTGGTACATGACCCTTTTCTATATGCTGACATTTGTTATGTTAAATCATCTCCAATGACCATCAAATGACCAATTAGTATAATTCAGTACACCTAAACCCAGTAAGATAAAATGAAGGAGATATTTGCATTTCAAATGAGTACCTAGACTACTAGGAATAAGCTAGGTAATATGTGACAACACTCCTGATTGTTACCCAGTTCATCAGAATAGAACTCTGCCAGATTTTAAATCACTAAACAGAAGTCCAAGTGCTTGCTGTCAGATCCATGGTGTTTTAGCCAGCTCTCTTCAAATCTTGCTCCACTCTGTAGCAGGTCCACACGAGCACGCACCATAGAGCAATATCAAGTCTGGATTTTAAATGCATCTTTTCCTCCCCCTACTTAAAGCATTTGAAAATCAGCAAAGAAAGGTCCTAAATTTTGAACAGTGTTCACATAAATTATACTTCATGGTAGCTCTACCAAAATAGAAGCAACCCCTTCCATAAGCTTTGAGAGGTTCGGAACACCTTTGTACCTTCAGATATACAGCTCAAATTAGTTAACAGCCCAAACTAGACAGAGGAGTATGAAGCCATATATCTGACTAGGCACAGGAACAAATACCAGTATCCTGCGTAAAATGCAAATACTGAGTTGACCTCACTCCAGATAACCAGTTACAGATGACTGCTTCATAACAAACATCACCTGTCATATTTGGATAGGCTCACACTAGCATATTATACTGTGCTACAAGATAACCAAGATACTGCACTGCAAGATACCACGCCCAAGATAACCCTTGATCCCAATTAGCAAGATAAAAAACTTACTTGTGCTTGGCCAGCCATTTCAATACCAGCATCAAGAAATTCATCAAAATCATCGCTGAATTTTCCAGAGGCTGCAGCCAGTTCCCCACTTTGGCCCCGGGTAGCATGGACGACTTCTCCTGCTGACTGATTCAGGTCTGCTGCTGCCTGGTTCAGTTCACTCTGAGCTTCTTGAAATGACTTAGAACTTGGAGGTAGCTGTAAGAGACCAAGTGCCATATTTTATTGTCCTTCACGTCACACCAGCCCTTCACAACTGGAAAGGTCAACACAATTCAAGAACACTAAACGTAATACAGTAGTGAGCTTCACATACAAGCTAGAATGGAGTACTGTAACTGGACTGCTAGTGATTCAGTCCTGAATGCAGAATAGTCCAACTATGGGACAGCTATCAACCAGAAATCTATACAATGACCTTAGTCCCACTGTTTCTTTCAGGGGACAGATAAGTACGTAACCCTTTCAAGGGACAGAGATGACAATAGCTATTTTATGGTTCAACTATGAAATTCGAAGTGATGAACTCAGTGGCAAAAGTTGGAGAATTTTGGTCTCCAAGTCATAATTCACTTCCATAAAAAAGCTTTCCAGAACACCACACAAGTATTGGCAGCTCTTCACAATGACTCTAAACTCCTGACCTGGTTTTACCAAAAGGCATTGCACAAACATATCAAAATACAATTCCTCCTTCATTCACAGGGTAGCAGGATTGCTGGTAGGTGCAGAAAAATGTTGTGTAAATAATATAACCTTCCAGCAAGTTACCAGTGCACAAAGGGATTTTTTGACATGGATGCAGTTAAACAGAAATATAACAGTTCTTCTCCTTGCACAAAATGACCACAGATGCACCAAACATTTTTTGACCCACGACAATGCTCCTTAAACTGAACTGATCACTTCTAGGTGGGAGATGGATTATAATTTTCAAATTTTCATATTCTTCAAAATGTTAAGTCACAGTTGGCATTTTCAAAAAATGAAACTAATGGTGATCTATAACAACTTTAATACTGCCTTCATAAGCCACAGACACATTTTACCCTTCCCATAAACCAGAACAACAGCATTTCAGCCAAAGTAAAAGCTACTTAAAGTTGCATAAACTTAAACAAAACTTACATGAAGTATACTAGGGTATATTTACTACATAATAATTTGACGCATGGGGAACCTCGATCTGCTTTTCAGTTCTCTGAAATTTATTTGTATGTTAAAAGACATCTCACCGAATCAACAAGGAGCTTCTTGCTAGATTCCCCAATACTCTTCAAGGCCACATCCACATCCTTTTGTCCAGGCAGACAATTCACACAGTTATTCAAGGAGTGAGACACCGCTTTTGCCACCTACAACACATAAGTAAACACATCCACACCGAGAAAGGCTTAAGTGGTCATTCATCTAATAGGAGGCACATTCTATAGCCAGCAATTCCTACATTCCGACTCTAACAAAACCATTTTTGAGGCTTGCGACTTTCTTGGTTTGCTCACCTGTAGTCTAGCAGTAGTCAACACTTATGCTCACCCATTTGATAGGATAGTGTTGGCAGGGCAGCTCCACAACTGCTCCTGGCACCTGGGATAAAGGCTGCAGCACTGCAGGTAAGGGAATGCCCCTGAAGTTAACCATATACTAATCACAGAAATCCTCTGCACGCTACTTTTTTCAGACAAAGTCCTGATTAAAACAAATGGCTCCTCATAAGAAATTATATAAAATACAGGCCAATTACAGAACTTTTCAAACCAATAAAAAAGAACCTGTTAGTCTTTAAGTCTTCAAAAGCAGTGGTGCCACATGTGTAGAAAACATGCATTCTCTTTTTAAATATAAGATCAAGACAGATCCTTCATTTGATAATTATCTGTTTAACAGTTGTTTCATTTTTGCAATCAAGCAGCCTACTCAAATATGTCACGGGTAAAAGCACTTAACTGCATCTTTGTATAAGTTTATTTTTCTAAAAGATGACTAAAATACCACACTTCGCGCCATCTGCATTGTTTAACATAAGCATGATGTTACTATCCAAGAGTTGCTGGAAGGACCAGAAAGCTGACATTCCTTGCAGGTTTATTTTCTGTTGTTCTCTCGTATTATTTAATGCTGCGTTTCACTGGGTGTTTGATAATTCATGTAGCTGCTCAAGTCGCAACTTACCTGGGCTAATCTCTGCTGACTGTCTGCATCCCCTGGTGCAGCCAGTGCCTGCTTCGCCTCCTGAATAAGCATAGCAGAGCCTTCCATGACATCCCTTGCTGAATCCAACATTGCATGTGCTGCCACAGGGTCGGTAGTAGATGCTGCAACCCCTCGTGCTGCCTGAGCCAAAGTCTTCAAAGCCTGAGCAGTTTCTCTGGCAGCCACTCCTATGTTCAGATTTCATCAAGGATTCTATCAGTACCCTTAAAGACAATCTTTGTATTTTATGACAGATGAATTCGCAGTTAACGATCCCATTGCAAAATAACATTGCAAAAGCAGTTTAAAAGAAAATCTTCAAACATGAACACATTTGAAATGCACAGCATCATTTGCCTAGAAAAATGCCTGTAGTGAAGCCATAAAGTAAATATTATACCCCAAAGACCAGGGGTATAGCTCTCAGTGACTAAATCTTAGTGAAGCACTGAAAAAGAAGAAAATCTAAAACCTGGAAATGAGGAAAAACTCATACTCCAAGCTATGGGAGAAAGTGATTGTCTGCAAGAACAGTATACATGACTTCAGAGCCACAGCGTCTCTGCTGCTTATGAAAATGTAACTTCAGATTTTTTAGAGAATAAACACAGCAATAGCTTAAGTTCAAGCAATTAAAAAAAAATTAAAAGAGATCATTAGGGATGATACAAGTTGATATAACCTAACATCACTGTGAGTACAAGCACATTAAAATAACTGAAGTCACAGAGAGGATGTCATGAAATTAGTTTCTGTGGTCTGTCTGGACATCATAGGACATTCATCAGCTCTAGAGCTAAGGCGTACAACTATATGAATAATGGTCCAATTCTTCTCTTTTTGAAATTTAACTCAGCCCTTAATGAAAACCAATATAAAACAGTCTTCCAAAATACCTTAATTAGCACATAGTCTACTCAACAACATATGCAATTAATGTAGGTGGTATATTTTGAGTGATAATGTTAAAATCATGCTACTCCTACGAAAAGCAAGCTACAGAAAAGGTTCACATTGTACAAGACCTCTTGGTTATCCATATTTAGGCATTAAAAATAATTAGAATGTTCTAATATCCCTGTTGGAAATGTTTAGAAAGCTGGCACATCACAATCAAATAAAACTCACCAAGTAGCCGTGCTAGCATTTTAACACCAGTGCCTTTTAACATTTTCTCTTCCATTTAAACGCAGAAACTTTAGAAGATGATGAAAAGCAAGTGATATTATATGTCAAAGTAAAGCCAAGCTAAGCAGAGAAACAGTACTGCCTATGTTGCAATTACAACCTTTCTATTTGACAAACCACAGAGAGCTTTCTACATTCTTAATTTAAAGAAAATTTCAGGAAAAATACCCACACGTTTTGTTTCCTTTATTTAGAGTACCAGTAAGCATCTTTTAAGTTTGACTTAATTTATCACAGCACCACAAAATAAAAAAGTCTGGTTGTTTTGCTTTCAATTTGGTGCTGCTTTCATCCTCTACAATGACTTTCAGTACAAAGCGAAAAGAAACTGACTGTGACAGTTGCAGACAAGAAGGAATTACTAAAAAGTGAATATAAGCTGTAAAGAACTTTTATCACAGAGAAACAGCAGAATGTCAGAATACCTGCAAAGACTTGGTGCTTGCTTGAGCACACAACAGTTTTTGCATAACAAGACAGTACGAGATAGAAAATAGTTATATGAGCTTTAAAAAGGAACTCATTGCTTTGTAGGATTTCCCAACCAACCAGTTCTTATAGCTTGATGTTAAGAGAGCTACTATATTCAATTATTCGATATCAGCTGCAGTATCTGTATTCCTTTGCCAGATACCCAGTGCTAACTTCTGCATAACTGTGATAGAAACGCGAGCCATCTTAATGCAATTACATCTGCTTCAAATGAAAGCAACTGTAAGTTATGTAGCCCTGATGCAATTATATTCAATGAAGTGGTAATTGCCATAATGCATTTTATCAGTAATATTTAAAAAGATCCTACAGTAGCATTTGCATCAACAGCTTTCATTTCTTATAGAAATAAGGAGACAGAACATTTTACCATCTAAGAGTAAACCTTCGCCCCCCCCCTACAAGGAGCATTTTCCTTATTAAGGTGATTTTGGTTTCTGAAAGTACAGGTACAAAAACAAATTGCAGAATCTGTGTGCCCACATTCCCTGTTGGCTATAACTCAAACTATGCAAATGCGATCAATGAGTCAGACAGACTAGCTGCATTATGCATGTAAACTGGTAACATCTAGTAAGAGATGCAGTTTTAAACATCACCAAGCTATCCCAAGTATGTCTGCATCCTGTGCTTCAAAAAATATCCAGAGACTCTTTTAACCTTATGAAAGGACACAGTAACATTGCCAGTTGCACTGACCTTTAAATTGTATTACATTTTAGTTCTGTCCTTCCCAGAGTTTGTGGCATATATTTACAAAAACAACAGATGTCTCAATCTATTATTATATACAGACACACAGCAGATCGCAACACTATTCTTTTATGAAGCACATTATTTACACCAGCAATTCCTAATAACTTGCCACAATTCACTATCAGCATTAAATTAAAAAAAAAAAAGTGAGCAATTCCTTGATTTAAGTAGTCTGTGATAAGAAAACCTTCTATCAAGTATCTTATGGAAAGCAGAGGTTTTGCAGACATTATGAGTAAAACTCTACCTGTGTAGTGCTCATTGCCTTGAGCAGCACAAGTTAACAACTGGGCCATTGATGAACCGACTGCTTTGGATGTACTTCCCAGGTCCTGAGCACATTTCTCAAGCTGTGAAAAATTGCAAAGGACAAAATTCTTTGTTTAAGCTCAATTAAAAACACACTTGTTTTTTAAACAGTATTAAAAAATTCCTCATTCCACAAAAACCAAGCTTTTACCTCAGCTACCGAACACACACACACACACACACACAGTTTCTCTGAAACCTGATTAGCATGTTTTCCCTGTCCAGGGTGAAATAAATCAACATATTAGATAATATGAACAACAAAACTATTTTAAAATTAGCAATTATAAAATTGAGGAGAAGGGTTTTTTTGTCAAATAAAACATTTCACTTTCTAAGCCTACCAGGACTGGTAGTCTTAGAACTATGGAGTTCTCATCTTTGTCACTATTGAAAAGAAATTCTTTCTGACAAGAAAAGACCAAAACATTGCTGCTGCTAAATTGTAATTTGTACAATAGAGAAGGAGGCCCTACAGTCCTACGAGTAATTCTGCTACAGAACATGCTTATGGTGTAATAGGAACATATACTCTTTTTCGGAGAATTAGTGCAAAATCCTATCAGTGTCATCATTATCCAAAGCCTCACGACTTGTTTTGCCTCTAATACTTAAAATTTTTAACAGCTAACTTTGTTTGTTTTTAAATGAAGAACATCCTTCCTCAATTACAGTTTCTCCTGGGAGAGGTTTTAACTGTCCATCCACAGCTGCCATCTTCGCATCTTGCAGTTCATTTTTGAGTGTCTGGACTGTGTTCAAAGCAGAATCGATTTCCATTGGGCCACATGCTTCATGAGCCTATTCAGAAATTAGATCAACATCACTGTTAGCAGCTGTAAGCCACTATCAGAAATAGTAAATGCTTTAGATATAATCTCTCCCTCCCAAATTATTGCTCTCATGACTTTAGAGGCCATTGTGGGCACTTTAAGTGTTACACATCACAGACTCCAAACTCCTGCACAATACTCTTAGCTTGTGAATAGAATAACACACTGTTAAGAGCCAACAGGGGAATGTGATGCACTTAGCTTGTGTACCTTCACACTAGGCAGTCCAGGTACTGAGAAAATAACTGCTGCAGTCTGGGCTTCACTTTTGACAAACAGCCTAACTATGCATCGTGACTAAAGTCATACTGAACTGTCTCATGTGGCAGCCCACAATCATCAGTACCTGAGCTGGAAATTTTAACGTTAGCTCAGGTGTAGCCACCTATATGCTACAATCCTGGTTTTGGGCCTCAGTGTACACACAAAAAAAGAGCAGACTTTCCACTGATACTTTTTTTTTTTTTTAAAAACCCATACATAGTTTAGAATTCTATGCATGAAACACAGATAGCCTCTGCTTTCCTGAATTTTAGAGATGATAGCTTCAGTTCACAATCACAACATTGACCACAGCAGTGCCATATCTGGGTTCTCCCCAGCTTGGCAGGTGCACAAGATATGCTCCCTTTTCCACACTCTCCTTCAGATGTAACAGCAGCTCAGAGCTTTGATGCGCTGCTCTGTGTATACCCTCCTCCTGTCTTTCCGGCATGGAAAGGGTAGCACAAGCTTTTCAGTTTTCTTGCCACTTCCCCTTCACCTTTCTATCATGACACAGAAGCCACCTGGGAGTCTGAGCAAACTGCACAAAAAGCAACACTGAGGAGTGAACACTGCCTGAGCATGAGCCATTCCCCTGGGGGAGACACAGGGGGCCAAGCAGGAGTGAGCCTGCGACTACTGTCCAAGCCACCTTGCTTTAGCTGATTAAAACTAGTATTTACCTACCTTCTGGGAGGCTGTTCGTAGCTCAGCTAAGCTGGTGGCAAGATTCTTCGCACACTGACTTAGCTGCATTGCTGCTGCTTGATCAGTCACAGTGGGGACTGCAGCTTTAGCAGATGCCACCATTTTACTTCCAGGCTGTTCAAAGAAGAACAGTGAACACAATTGGTTTTACTAGCTCATTTTCTTTAAAGAAGGCTTAGGGTTCAATAAACAAACTGCTTCCTCCATTGACACACTCGTGAGGTTTCTATATCTTCTGTAATGACCATTTCACGCACGTCCCTGCTCCTTAACCATGCACATTCTAGATCCCAGCCTTTTATTCATACGCTGCACACTGTCATAATTCCACATTGCAGTGTCCTCTGCAGCAGGATTCATTCGTGCTTTACTATTACAATGACTACTTCATTGGTACCAACGTCTGCCTGAGGCCTTTGAGTACTCATGTAGACTACTTAAAAATATTTAAATGTGCAGTTTTGCCTTTCAGCATCCATGTGGTACGAGCAAGTCCAGCTGGCACAGATGGCAAATTTGTCTCAATGTTTCTAAATATTAAACTCTGCCAAAATTCTATGAATTCAAAACTGTAATTCAAGGAATGACTTCACAGGGTTTGCTGCTAATACAATTAAAATACTTTGCTGATTCTCACCATCACCATGGTACACACATACAGTCAGAGGGGAGATGGATCATTTTAATGACTCCAGAGGGAATCATATACCAAAATACTCAAACAGAGCAGGAGCATTGTTTGCAATACCTCTGCCTATGGAACCATAAAGAACCTGCTAACAGCAACCAATGAAAGGGTTCATTTCTATTCCACATTTAAGGTAGGACTAACTGGTGCCAAGTAATGATCATGTCATTATACAGAGAATTGGTTTCTTCTGTTTGTTTCTTGTAATGTCAATAATAAACCCAATAGTTTTGTTATCAATGCTCAATTTATTTTTTTTTTTAAAAGATGTTTTGGAAGAAGCACAGAGTCAAATTTTGTGTTTTGTTCAAAACTTCAGTCAAGATCCATTACGTATGCAGGCTATTACCCAAAAAAACATGGTAATATTCCCTTTTATTTGTGAAGAATTCTGGAGCTTGTTGCTTGCAACACCAACTTTACTTTCATTAAGAAAGGTGACAACAGCATCTCACATATTCAGACCTCTGATTAGAAAGATGCTGAATTCTCTCCATCTTGTTCTTTAAACTCTTTAAAAAAAAGTGCCACAGCAATGAATGTTTCTTCTCAATACACTTTAGTTTTCTTATTACTTTTATCCTCAATTTTGGCAGTTTTCACTCTCCACAAGTTCAACATACTTCATCCATCTGACTTGAGGAAATAAATTCTCCTTAGCTATGGCTCACAGTCATAGCTTCTTTACACAGTTCTTAACAGTTTACTGCTTATTTATCACAAATAAAACCACACAGCACTAAAAAATGCTTTTTGATCTGATGGAATCTACTACAGTGATTGATTCACTTCACCTGAAGGAAGTTCTGGCTGGAATTTATTAGAGCAAGCTGGGCACTGAGGTCTTCTGCCTGAGCTTGACTTCCTCTTACACCCTGCACCAACTGAGGAATGTGGTCTGCAACATTCTATAATAAAGGGAAAAGGTTTTAGTAGATAAATAAAACCTCCAAACTGTCTGACACTAAACCAAGCCCTCTCCCCACCCGCCTTAAAGACAACCTATAGTATTCACCGGTACAGTACTCTTGTGCCTTCACAGAATTTGTTTAGGATTCCATGGAACTGAATTAATACACGATAGGATTTTTCAGAGACATTCTACTTTTACTTAAGAAATCTTTATTCAAGCTACTCATTAGTTTAAAGATCCTACAAGACAATCTAAGATTTTTCTGCAAAATTATGTACACAAAGTATTTTGAATTACTTCCTTTGTATGTTCAAACGGCAGCAGTGGAGGTGACGGATTTTTCAAGAGAACGTCTTGCTTTCAGAATAACATTGTCTTTTACACACAAGCATCTCAGCCTACTTTTCCTTGACTTATAACAATACAAACTTTATAGTATGGCTGGAGCATTCTGAAGTGTGTATTGCTAAAACTTTATTCCTGGACTGCCCAAGATTCATGCTCCTTGTCCATCCATTTCACAATAACCCTTACTTCAGCAGTGCAATATTAATTTCCAACCCCCCCCCCAAGTAGGTATCAGATCTTCTCTACCTCTAATAAATCACCATCAAGATCAAATTAGAATGAACCGTAAACAATACAGTGATTCAGCTTTTCTTTTTTTTAATTCATACTGAAATAGCAGCTGCCTACAACACAATCTTGAGATGCACTTGAGCTACCTTATTTAATTCCAACATTTCTTAGGAATACTACCATGACAAGAAATAACTGCTGAATGTTAGTGTGTCTTTTAACAATGCCTTCTTTAATGGTTTTGTTCTCGTTTCCTGCATAACTGCTGTTCCATCCAGAAGAAAACCCTTTTGCATTCTGTCGTCTTTTTCAATTTTTTGTTTAAATGCAATTTCTTTAAAAACCCTGAAGCACCATTAGTCAGAGCTGGAAATTAAGCTGCCAAATGTAGCTTAAACACAAAAGAGCTTCTCACCAGACTCTGAATTCTAGCTTGGAACTATAAAAATGTGCTTGACTTAAGGTATATCTTGAAATCTGTGGTCTTGGCAGCTTTAACTTCAAGCTAGGAATCATGTTAACCCATAGTAAGGTCTGTAACTTATTTTTTACAGTGACATTTAAGGCCCCAGTTGCTTGTGGGCTGAACATCAGAATAACAGGATCAGTGTTGTTAGTTATATAACCAATTAAATAACCCATACATTAAATAATGATTTCATTCCATTATAATATAAATCACTATTGCTACGCCACCCTTCATTGTGGAAAATTCAAAAGCTACCTTTATTCCATAGCAGACCTCAGTCCCATTTCACTGCATGTATCATTCAACAGCCTGTTTTGATGATCATAGAGCTACTCGTCTGCTGAAGAGCACACTCGTGTGCTGAACGCATGGCCAAGACTTCCTGCCAGTGTACAAATTTCTGAGCAACCCGACCCCTCCGCACAGTGCTTCTAGCATAGCTCTGCATATACAGTACTGCTTACTGATTTGCAGCAAAACTTTTACTTAAAGCACTTGCTTCAGGTGAATTGGTTGTTACTTAACAGATACATGCCGAGGTATATAAGCCTGTCCATCCTTTCTAGGAAGGTGTTTCCAGGGGTATTTGTAACAGGCAAGTACTACACAGTAGCTCAGCTTTTCAAAGCTCCCCATACAGTAACGCACGGAAACTATGGATAATACAATAAATGAGGGTTCTCCAGAATCCATAGAGATGAATGTGTGATTTTGGTTTGGTTTGTTGTTTTTTTTTTTAAAACCCTTCTTTTGATGTTGCAACAGTACTATTATAGAAGGTGATCTTCAGTTCCCCATAAAGCAGAGTTCAAGAGTTATCTGTCAATGGGTTGATATGTTTACCTTACAGCTCTGCACAAGTTGCTGGTGGGCTGCTGTGTTCTTATTTGAAACAGCTGCATTCTGAGAAGCTGCAATAGTCTGAGTAGCAGCAGCTGCAGCTTGTTTAGCTGCAATCTTTAGAGAAAGAGAAACAGAGTTAAATCAATGGTAAAAGTCTGTGTAATTCAGAGGATGAAATACATATTATAGGTAACTTTGACAGTAACAGCTTTGACAGATTAATACATTATAACCCTTCATTAATTTGATTTGCCGTAAGGAAACTCAGGATTGCTCTTCTCTCAAGATGAAAATGAGCTGAACGCTGTTATCCATCTCTAACTTGCCAATAAAGAAAAAGGTGGAGCTAGAAGGATTCTAAGCTCTTACTTACTCCTTCATAGCTTAAGTTGCAATACGACCGAAAGTAGTCAATTACAGAGAGCAGAAATACTCCAATCAATTAACTCCTTACAAAGAAGGCCAGAGAAAATAGGCAAAGTACTGGGCTTCGAAGTATAGTGCTTCACACTGCTACATTAACACCTCTGACCAAGCACTCAAGTGAGCCAACTTCTACTGAGATTGCTCTATGGCAAAAGCAAAGATACTAAAATGATGCAGAGGTACAAAGTACTGGTATTACTGAGTCTAAAAGCACTGAGAAAACTATTTAAGAGTCTTATTATCAACCTCTCCCTATTACAAAATTAAAAATTCAACAATTTATCAAAGGTATTCCAACATGTTCTACAATACTTTTAGTTGGCCCACTAAATACATCCAAGCAGGAAGTTCATTCTCATCATTACAAATTTCACTCCTTTGTAAGGCAGTGTGTGTTATAACAGCAAAACAAAAAAGTCCTTTCTATAAAGCTTTCTTGCATGCAGTTAGAAAATTGAGACATCAGCCTTTATTTCCTGAAATACTCCTGATCTTTAGTTCTAGCCAGACACAGTAATTTAAATGCACTTCTGGAACATGATTGCCTACTTAGATCTCCTTGTTTGTCTAATCTCATTGCACTTGAATCTGACCACAGTAGAACCACAGCTGGAAACTAGGAATTACAAAAGGCTTCTTTTTTTAATCTGTCTTTTCTACATTTTTAGCTGAGATTGAAGATCAAACCTTGCCTACAAGACAAACTTCAGAGATATTTTATCCTTAGTGCACAGTAAATTGCCTTTCTCCCCCTTGGCTGTGCTACCAGCTATGACATATCTTTTCACTTTTGTTTCTCCTTCTTTGATTCTCTGAATAACTTACAAGTTTAATTGGATATGGTGCAATTCAACTTACCTTCGCACGTGATTACATGAAACTCTGGCAGATATACTAGTAAAACCACAAAAAGATATTGTGTGTAAATGGCAGATCATACAGTTAAATTAAAACAGTAATGAAGTAGTTTCAACTCAGCTGTTTGAAACCTCAGCTGTTCTAATTTTATGACTAAGCCACCATCAAATGCCTTCTGAGTCAAATTCCTAAACCAACTTACTACATCAGTGATACAAGTTGCTCAGTTTTGAGGATTATGGTATCATATGCTGGCATCTTGAATTCCAAGTCTTGTACTCTGGAACTGAGCTTACAGTGCTATCATTCTATGCTTAGCACTTTTCCTGAAATATGCATTTCTACTTGCTTGAAATTATCTACAGATACTCATTATCAAAACAGACTAAACTGAAAATTCAACAATAACTAGTTTCCAACCTCTAATCTGTTGACAATTTTCTTCTTGATGGCATTCTGTGCAGCAGCATTTGTAGCAACCCGCAGTCCTTCTGCTGCTTCTCTCAGACGCTGCTGTTGATCCTCATTTTCAGGATTGGCTGCAGCTCCCTGCAGAAAATTTCAGAGCAAAAACCATGAGCCTCAGTAAAAGTTCCTGGAAAAAATGCAGATGAATATCAAGGCTTTAGTTCCAGACAGTGTCGGCTACATCAGCCTTTATTTTCCTTATATTATTTTAACCAAAGTTAGAAGAACATTAAAACGTGACAAGACTTTGAAGCAGAAAATTTATTGCTAGTGCAAGGTTGTTACTGTGTATGTTAGGTACTCTGAGGAAGGGAGTTGAACATTTGCTTCACGTACTACTTCAGGTGCTTGAGAAAAAAGCCTTTGTAAACTGCTTCCACTATGATCTGTAATAATGTACTTCCATTATATGAACAGGTTTTGAAAAAAACAGTTCTTAAAATTCCCAATTCAATATGCCTTTCAGTAACTGCAGTCCAAACCTTGAGATTTAACACAGTAGGTTTTCTCCAACTGAAGTCTGAGAAAGTACTGGAAAGTCAAGGATATGCTCTGTGGCCAGGCATACGGGCCTTCTAGAGCCCTAGCACAATGGCTGGCCCTGATCTGTAAAAGTCATTTAAGTGCAGGATCTGGGAAACAATTCAAAGAATGTATTTCTCCCTAGTGGATTTAAATAGGTTTCTAGCACAGAAAGGAAAGGAAAGGAAGGGTTAGATATTTGTCTCTCTTGTGAGAACGGGGGGAGTGGATGGGAACAACACAGGCAAGATTCCCCAAGTGGAGGAAACTGTTCCTAAGACAGAAGCAGAGTTGCTTTGTTAATGCCTTTTGTAAGAGATATTTGTAAGAGCTTGCTATGGGTTTGTTGTTCCATTTGTATTGGCAGACTGGTACAAGACTTTGCATCACAGTTATTATGGCTGGTGATAACTGCCCTAGATGGCTTGAGTCATGACCACCCTGCACACAGGTGAGCAAAACAGTGCAAGAAGGGTTTTTAAAACAAAAAACCCCAGGTAACTAGTAAGTTGTTTTTTTCTGAATGTACCTAGGATAAGTCATTAAATGCAGAACATTTACAGGATAAGAAAAACAGTCTCTACTATCAGCCAGATCCTATCTATAATAGCCCACATACTACCTCTTCTGTGTGTATAACCATATAATTTTAAGATGACAGTTAGTTCATTTTCCTGGTACCTTTGCAGCTTCAACCATGCGGGCTGTAGAATCTGCCAGGAGCTTTGCAGCAGCCAGAAGCTTCTTAGAGTTGTCCATGTCGATTTCTGCTTCGGCATCTGACCTCATGGCATTGACGAGATCAGAAGTGGCTTGAGCCAGTACCCTGGCCTGCCGAACCATTTCACCTGTGGTATACAATTATATTTTTACCTTACTTGTCTCTGCATTTCAGTTTCAGTTTTGAAAGTGATCTCAACAAGATGAAAATAAAGTTATATTTGCTGAAGTATTCTTTTGACTTGAAAATGATACACAAATAGTTCATAACTTAGAAGCTTCAGAAACATAATCTTGGATTGCAACATAAATGAAGGAAACCACTACAGTGGAGATTAAAAAAGTAACACAGTATTTGCATTCTAGATAGCAAGACAAAAACCAAAAATCAATACTTTAAGGTAATTTTCAATATACAGTTCAGGGAAACTCCTGGCTCAGTGAAGACTAGTAATTTTGCTTTCAAATTACAGCCAAGATTTCACTCCTTTTATAAAAATTACCCATCTTCCACCTATTCTTCTTTTGGGAAAGTTCTTTTGGGGAATTATCTTCTGTCTAATATAAACTAAATTAAGAACTCTGTCAGAAGAGACTCAGCACCAATTAGGTGGTTTTGGCCAAAAATAAGGTATATATTTAGGATATTGGAGTCATGTTCTGGCCATGGTGAAGCACAGAAATGAAATAGCAATGCTTCTGAAGTGGATACATACCCTTTCTAGAGCAAATTCATTTGGTCACTAAAAAATACACTTGAACTCCTTCATAATAGACTTGAACTCTTAAAGCCTTTGGCTTTCTTTAGGTTATCAAACCAAGTAAGACGTGTTTGGATCTAAGGCCCCATTCTTTTCAAATGGTCTTAAAAAATCAAGGGAAAGAAACCAAAGCACCATTTTTCTCATGTATAAAGGTGACTTATGGACTTCAGAATTAAATGCCTTCTTACCAGGCTCCTTTGGTCAAGCATAGGCAAAAAAATTTAAAGTTTCCTAGCTGTTATCAACTATTTCCCAGTATGCAATTTTGCAATTAAAATTTTTAGCAATAATGGCTAACTCAGCTCCCAGTCCAAATATTCCACTTGAAAAAATCCCTTCAAATGCCCTTTCTTACAGTATTAAGCCAGTAAATCAAACAGAAAGAATAACCTGCTTGGGCAATAATACAGCAGTCACAAGCCAGAGTCTCTTTGCTGCTAAAATTGCAATCTCAGGAGTGCAATGATAAGTTGGAAACATCGAATGGAATCTGAATGCCTTCTTCTAAAAACTAAGTATTGCACAACAAGATATTTGACTGTGAACAGAAAATAAATGCTACCCAGGATGATCTCTTTTACTGAATCCTTCTGTACAGAAGCTGAATGATAAGTGACAGCTAAACATAAAGCACAACACGCTTTCTTGTGCACATCTACAGTAATCGAATTCCTTAGGATAGCTACAGAGCATTAGAAAACTTTCAATGGAAGATTAAGAGTGGTTTAGCAAACATTCCTGCGCATCTTTTAAAAAATTTAATCACTCAGATTTCTCATTGTCCTGGTTTCGGCTGGGATAGAAATAAATTTCTTCCTAGTGCTGTGTTTTGGATTTAGTATGAGAAGAATGTTGATAACACTGAGGTTTTTAGTTGTTGTTAAGTACCCTGCTAATCAAGAACTCTTCAGAGGCATGGCTGGGACAGCTGGCCAACGGGGTATTCCATACCATATGACATCATGCTCAGTCTATAAATAAGAGGCATGGTCCAGGAAGTAGCAGTCACTACTTGGTTATCGATCAGCGCAGGTAGTGAGCAACTGCATTGTGCATCACTCATTTTGTATATTCTATCATTATCATTATTATTATTTTCCCTTCCTTTTCTGTTCTATTAAACTGGCTTTATCTCAACCCCGAGTTTTTCTCACTCTTACCCTTCCGATTCTGTCCCCATCCCACTGCGGGGGGGAGTGAGCGAGCGGCTGCGTGGTGTTTGGCTACCTGCCGACATGACACTCAAAGAAGATTCTAGGGTCAAAATACACTGAGAACTTCACTAATTACTTCCCTGCACATGTTCCTCTGGAAGAGTGCTGCATGGCTGAAATGACAATTCCTCAAAAAGAGAAACATCTGAAAGTTTTATCTCTTAACCATAACAACTAAAATGACTACAAGAAAAGAGTAGTTTGTTCATATCAACTGTAACGTGAATACAACTGCGACTGAAATATTTACTTTCCTGGCCTTGTATTTATATAACACGAAAGAAAAGACCAAAACCATACTATTCACCGTAACTGCTTTTAAAAACTGATCCCATTGTAAACTTTCTATGAATTGTCTTGATTTCAAGATACTGCCCCTTCATGGTGTTCTACTTCATAACATTTATAACTATTGAAATTTCACCATTCTAAGTAATTTACTGGTTCTTCACTGAAAATTCATATTGGATCAGTTAAATCTTAGGCATCTCAAGTTTTGGTTGGTTTTAAAAGCTGCACATTTTAGAAACGTCATAGGAAAACGCAGAAGTTTCGAAACCTACAACAAAATCTAAGCATAATAAATTCAATCACTGGGAAGTATTTGCTGAGGTACCTGTCTTCATATTTGGAGATGAGAAATTGCTACAAAATTCTGTGAAGTGAAGGAGTGGTAGAAAACAGACAAAATACTACAGTGATCCTTTAGCATGATATTGATTGTTTTCACAGAATATTCATTCTATCTAGCACACAGCTATGTGCATTTTGCTGATTTAATGTTATGGGTTGAATGACTACCCATCACAACAGCACTAGCCTAGAAGCGCAGTACATTTCAGAGAAGGTTTTTTCCTGCACATTATTTGAAATGTGCACATCCCTGAATCATGGAAAGCTGCTGTCCATTAGAGAAACTTACCAGCATCTCCCATTGAACTGAAAATACTCTCTGTGACACACATGATGGTATCCGTAGCCTGGTCATAGCGTCCAATGGGCTCTCCCCTGCTCGCAAACTGGCGGACATGCTGCAAGAGGTCATTCAGGGCTTGGCTGACAATGCTGGCAGCTGCACTGACCTGCTTCAGTAACTCAGTGTCATCTGTGGCAGCCTGGCAGGCCCTCACGCAGTTCTCCACTGAACGGTCTACCAGTTTCCCTGCCTCAATCAGCTGTTCCTGACACACTGGAGAGCTGATGGTGGGACTCACAACCTGCATGCCAAAAGGACACAAAGCATTCAGAAAAGGCTTATTTGCAAATTTCCTAACTACTAACAAGTGAAACATCTACTACACTAGTTTTGCATCTTTAACTTACCTGTTTTCCCTAGACAGAAAACCCTGCAAGTGAGTATTTAAATAGGCAGCTTCAGACATCTAGATTAGGAATCTGGGCTCCGCATATTATTAATTTAATCTCAACTTAGATTCTGAGAATGGAGGCCCCCACCTTATTTCATGCTTCTTCAGCAGCTACTGAACTGAGAAAACACTAGACAGTGGTTCTGGAGGGCAGGCATAGGCCAAACTGCTCCAGAGTAACTACGTCCACTGGCAGACTTCTGTACCCTGGAATTCCAAATAAAATGAAATCTTAATTGGAATTGGTCTTGTAAAGCCTTCTTATATCAGCCTTTTGTTTGTTTGTTTAAATAAAAGTAGTGCTTGGCACAAGCCAAACAATGTTCTACTTCTGAAGCCACAAGACAAGTAATAAACCCTGTAATCTACAGATTAGAAACAACCCTCCCCCATTTTGTTCAGACATATCTGGAGAGTTTTTAGCAATGGGAAAACTGTGTATATCTTATGAGGAAAACAGGAAGCCACTGGGTATCCTATGCCATGTTGAAGAAACTCATGGGCAGTAAGAACATCAAGTCCAAATAATGAAAATTCATATATATGTATTACACAAAGCCCTTGCAACCAGAGAAATAAAGCAGAAAATATTGAAAATTTAATACCTAATATTGACTATTAATTTTAATATAAACCTTCAGCATGTTTCACAACAGCTGAATACCTATTTCCTTGCAAAAGATGACACTGCAGACTTCAAAAGCAGCAACCAAGTAGGAAATGCGAACTGTTTAATTTTTAAAATTAAATGAGTATTTTAGCTCTTTTTAAGACAAAAAAGGCTGCAGAAGATATAATGCTCCAATTGCAGATTTCAGAATTTGAGGTCTGATCTCAACTCCTTTGTAATCTGCTTAGACTGGAACTCAGTACTTGGCCAAAAGCAATGAATCTATTAAAATGACCGGGCTACTGTAAATTAGTGCAAACATACTTAAAATCAACGATCACCAACTTGGTTTTATTTTCAGGAAGAATACCACCTTTTAATTATTTAGCTTTAGATGAGGTGAACCCACGCTAATTCCAGGCTTTATTAGAAAACTGACACAGTCCCCCCAGGCAAGCTGTGCCTCTTGAACTAGTATTTTTTACTTTTTTATTTTATCAATATCAGTAATTCATCAGATGGGCTCTGTTATCTGTGGAACCTTCTCTGGAGATTATAGCAACACCTCACATCCTCTGGGCTCGTGATTGCCACTGTTATGGCGACAATTTATCAATCAACAACTTTGATATTGCATAAATCTAGAGCTATGATATTAACGCAGTATATTGCCTGAGACCATTGGAAGTACACATAAGCATACACTCAAAACAATGCCTTGCCACCTCACGAACACTGCTAGCCTCACCTTTGCGCAAGCCACAAGCTGGGAAGTAGAGAGTGCACACTGTGTAGCAGCAGCAATGACCCTGTTCTGCAGGACCGTATCCTCAGCGACCTGTGCTACATTCTTGGCCTTCAGCACTAACATGGCAGCAGCGTTTGCAACAGCTTTGGCCAGACTCATCAGAACATCCTGGTAAAATAAAGGGAAAACTCAGTTACGAACAAAAAAGTATATACTTTGTTTATATTAAGATCAAGTCTCCTGAAGGTAAGAAGTTCTCCTCTATCAAAACTTAAACATTTTGTTTCTTGTAAAGCAGCAAACATGGCTATTACTCAGAAAACTTGACAGTTTTCTATTCTCAGTACAACCACTTCTCTATTTACATTATCAAGTTACTGGACTGAACGAGTATGGACTGTCAAATTTTGAATTGGCTCAGAGTCCATAAGAACAAATTTATGTGCCAAATTGCAATGTGCTTATAGTTATTATAGTTATATTATTCTCACTTCCTGAGAATACACTATTAGTACAAAAACACTAAACGTGATAGGTATCTGCAATAGGGATGACAGCCTCAAGGAGCAAACTGCTGAGGACAGACAGTACTTGAGTGAATACTAAATTCAAGTACTTAATTGTGCTTAACAGTAACAACAAATGCCACTCCGTTTTTGAAAATGCCATTTCCAACCACAATATTTCCTTGTCCCTGATGTAAATTCAGACCTAAAAATTACTGCTCTAAAATATAACTCAAAACAGGTCTTAATTCCAGAATATTTTTCCCTTGTACAAAAATAATTTAGTTAACTCTGAAACTGTGAAATTAAAACACACTCATGGGTTAATCCCTGCAATGAAGTAGTTCAGAAAATTTCTTCCCATTTCCCCACTTAAAATGCTATATTCTGTATACTTCAGTTTTTTAATGGGATGGAGTCTTCCTAATGCCTGTACTGCTAAAATAACCTGACTTTCCTGTAAAAAGGTACTACAGATACACTTATGCGTAACTTTAACTTCACAGCAGAAAGAAAACCTTAGATTTCAAAAATTAAGAATACTAGTTTTCCTTTTGTTTTTAGGATATGAAGGCATGACAAACCATCCCTCTCCTTCCCCACCTTCTCCAACACTCCATAGCACTTATCAGAATGTTTAGGTTCTTTCTTTTACCCAAGAAAGAGAGGGCTGCAATACATACTCAACTAGGAATACAAATGAGAACTCTGATGAAACTTGCAGACAGATTTACTAGCGGATCGAGTGTTTAAAATGGCCTGTAAGTTATATTAGCAGACATCTTGCATATAGTGCACTCCAGAGGTCTATCTGTTACTGTAGATTGCTTCCCCTTGGTTCTGGTGCAAACCTGTTCTTGGCATTGAGTGAAAAAATCCAGACATGTTTTTAACAGAGCATTTAAGAACAATGGTTTTAAACTGCTAATAGCTAACACTGTTATTAAGTCATACAGGCATTAAGATTTGATAATTGCTAATACTAATCATCTCAAACAAATTATGTTTATAATACAGTAATTTTCTCCTACTCAGTTTACCAAAAGGTTGTGTGAACTTTTGGTTTACATGCATACATACAGACACAGCAAACACTTATGTGAAAACCACTATATTTAATGAGAAAAAATACTTGTTATTTATTAATAAACATTCATTCATTCTTCATAAATACATGGCATAGGAGGTCATTAGCTTGCAAAGACAGTGAAATACAAGGAAGGGCAAGGATTGAAGTTGTCTGTGTGCACGTGCAAGTTTTAATATACAGCTTCCCACAAAATCCCTATTGCATCCAGAACAATTGATTAAGACTACACGTGTCCCCCTGGAAAACTCAACTATAAGCTTGCATCTGACAGAGTATACTTAGTGAAGACAGGCAGAGTTTTTAAAAGTAAGTTGTTTGCTGTTCCTTGTTTTCTGTGTCTGACTTGGCACTGTGCGATGTAACTTGCATTCTGCTGCAACTGAAGCAAATGGGAACTGTAATTCAAACATATAAAGCATGACACAGTATCAAGAATTTGAAAGATCAACAGGTCATAAGGTATCTCAAATTAGCAGATATCTGGATTTCCATGCCGAATTTTCCATCTATAAAATGGAATGACAGTTCCACATCCTACAGGAAAGCTATAAAAGATATTATCCATGTAACACTGAGGTACTGAAAGTCACCATAAAAGAAGCCAGTGATGAACGTAGTGCTGAAAGTAAAAAGCAGAGTAGAATTTGAAAAGCAAGAGTCTGACCAGTATGCAAATAGCATGAGCCATGCATTTTAAACACTGAGGGGAGTACAGTGCAAACAGCTCTCCATGAAGCAAGAAAACATCTGTATGATGCACAGAATGAAGTAGGGGTTCCTATGAAATCAGCACTCTGTGATTGTGTAATTAAAAAAAATTTCATAATGGATTAACCTCAATTAGCATTGAGAAACTTCAAATTTAGCATTTCTTAACTGCACTTTGGGAAGCCTGGTTTTATGCAGTGGCTTCCTCATTAGAAAGCTGCACAGTTCTGACAGTGACAAGCACCCCCCTCATTACCTGGAACCTTTCATCTGTTTCATTCTCTCCAATTTGTCTCAGTAGCTCCCCGCTTGCTTGCCCAATGCTTCCAGCTGCAGTCAAAACTGTCTGTCGAGGCTGGAAAAATATAATGGTGAAATACATTAATTTAAAGAAAATGAGCTTTACTTGAATTTCAGATTTTCTCAAGGAACTTCTGCATTAATGTGCAATCAATATGGCTAAAAAAAATTACACAACAGAAATACTTTGGAAAAAATCTTTACTTTTCCACATGCACAACTGCACATCCATATTTCAGGGGTTTCATCTGAAGTGCTCCCAGAGAACGTGTAAAGAATTTTGAAGAACTTGAATAGACATTGTTGTAATAACTCCAAGGATAATTAAGGATGGACAGTCAATATGCCAACTGATCTGAAACATCAGGAGATTTCATGTTCTTCAAAACATAAATACCTGAAGAGAAGAGATCTAAGGCAAACTGGCTGCAGACTCCAACTCATAGCAAACTGATCAAGATAGTCTATCCTGTTCAGTACTACTCTCATTTCTAGAAAACTACAACAGAGGGATTAACTTCTCATTTTGTGTGTCAAAGTAGACAAAGATAGTAGGGAAAAAAAAATCATGAATGAGTAACTCTCCACTTCCTATTAAACTGAGTCATAGTACTGTTTGAGATTTGTTTCTAAAAGAGAACACAGTACCCAGATAAATCAACTATTAATTACACAAATCAATCAATCTCTGCATATAACACAGAACATTCTCATATCAAGGTGCAAGACTTAAAGGCATAAAGACAGAGACAGATGAGGGAATAAGAAGTAGTCAAAAGAACTGCTTGCACAGGGGACATTATGTGGCACTCAGCAGGTGAGGCTTAGAAGCTAATATGTCTCAAAAAAGCCAAAGCCATGCACTTCAAAGAGGGAACCTGAGAAGTTTCCATCTGCTCACCTCTCCTGAAGTAGGTTGCACAGCCTTCAGCAAATCTGAGACAGCACTGGCCAATGTTCGAGCAGCTTTCAGGAGGTCTTCTCCACTTCCAACTTCATCATCCATGAGAGCAGCAAGCAGTTTCACACCTTTAGACATCTCAGTGAGGTTGGAAGAGATGGTTGTAATTGCACATCCCACAGCAGTGTAATCAGTGTCAACTGGGTCCCCTGTGGAGCAAACATTTTTTCATGATCAGAATTCTTTAGTGGTTAAAAGGGAAAAAGAGGCAGCTACCACAAGCTACACTCTGGTGAGAGACAAAAGAGACAATTCAAGATAGCCAAGCAATGCCTACTAAGTAATTTCATTGTCACTTTAAAAAAATTAAAGACTGATATAATTTTTCCAATTTCTACATTTCTTCTACAAGATTTTATTTTCTAATAGAATTTCTCTTAATTCAATGCAATTTGCTGAGAAGTTCACAGTTTCAGCTATCTTTCAACACTGAAAGAACCCAAGGTAATACAGTATTGACTCCCAGCTCCTTCAACTTGTAATTTGCTGAAGAAAAAACCACTGTCAATAAACACATCATGTCTCCCTAACAACTGTCAGATCAATAATGCTTTTTTGTAGTAACCTTGCAAACATTCTCTACTTAACTTTGTTGAATAAGCAAGCTACATTTTATTTTCATCAATGGTCGTACCTTTAGGGTAAGAGATAAATAGAAGATAAAAAAATTGTGTTGGGAGGGACAGAAAGCTTGTTCCACACATCAATGCACTTAGCTATTGGGGTATTTTGAAGAAAATTTTTCTCCAGCTGCCCCATACTCAGTCCCTATGTTACTTGAATTAGATTGATAAATAACTAGGAGACTGTAAGGAAATCCTTCCCTTTGAAATTTACCTGCTGTAAGGTTAACAACAGATGCAGTTCCTGCAGTGATAGCATCAACCTGAGAGTGTATTTCATGTTTTGATTCATCAACTTTGTTCTGAACCCATACTCTTGATGCCTGAAGAGCAATAACAAAAGCAAGAATTAAGGATTGGAGAGGGGTTCTGTAAGAGGAGATACTATGTAAATCTCTCGTTGCTTCATGAACTTTTAAAAGTGAAACAGAACAACAACCAAGCCCTTAAAGTGCAATCTGAAAGCAAGCATTTTCTTCTTCTGAATCATTCACTACAGAATTGCTATCACATTTCAACAGCTGCCCTTTTAAGGTAAATGCCATAAACAGTGCATCCATGAAGGCTAACCACCCTTGACTGACAGTCCCCCATAAGCAATAGTTTCTTGATCTGTCCTCCTGCTCTAATCTGGATCAGGAACGACAGATCATATTTTGTTCTTATTTTTCAAGTGTCCGGGAGGGCAGCCGCTCCCACCATAAACATTGCCCATAGTTTGCGTTTAATTGTACATATACACATAAAACAAATAGGATTCCAGACATGGCTATGCAAAGAAGTCTGCTACATCTAATCTCAGAAGACTGATTAGAGTGAGGTGGAACGCTGTACATTAATTCCTTAAAGAAAGCACAAACTTTTAATTTTAAAAGCTTTAGCAATACCACTTCAGATATAGGGACAATGACTAAACTGATCTGTAAACACCCCAAAGCATTAAGATCCATTTCTATGAGGGATTAGAAAAACTCACCATGTCCTGCCCTAGAGGTGGTAGGTTATCAACTTCACTGAGGTCAGCCTGTGCCTGTTGAACAGCATGCATACTGGTATTAATAGTCCCCATCAAGGCCTGCTGAGCTGAGGTCTGAAAGACAAAACAAGGAAATGGCTGTGTGCTATGTTCCAAATGTCACTTCAAGCAGATGTTACATATGCATGAATAGACAGCAAGTGACAACAATCCAACAATCACACCAGGCCATTTCAGATAGCTAGCTTTTCCCTGGTGCAATGGAGAATGCAAAGCTCTCTAACACTCCCTTCACACAGTCTTGATTCTGCCCATGCCATTTTATACTCCTCTGTACTTGCACACATTTATAAAATGCTGAACTTTCTCAGATCAAACAATGCTCAACAGACACACACAAAACCACAAAGCTGTCTTACTGACTTGCATTCTAGGAACATGAACACGAAAACTGAATTTGCTTCTAGGATATCATTATTGATTTCCTGGAACAGCCTACCAATGTAATCAAGGACGATTCTAAAACTAAATTGCCATCAATATGCATAAGCCAACAGAAAACTGAAGGGTTTTAGGCTGAGCAGGATGGCTATCTGTATTGGGTGTCTGCAGAGGTGGCCTCTGTGAGAAGAGGCCAGGGGCTGCCCCCATGCCGGGCACAGCTGGTTCCAGAGAGCTCCAAGAGACCCACCACAGGACACAGCTGAGTCCAGCAGCCAAGCTGGTGGCACCTCCGGGAAAACATTGTTAAGACAGGGCAAAACATCAACATGGCAGTGAGGGGACAAAAAAAATTCAAGAAACAACCCTGCAAACACCAACGTCTGAGAAAGATGGGGAGGAGGTGCTCCAGGCAGCAGAGCAGAGATTCCTGCAGGAGAGACCACGGTGGAGCAGGTGTTTCCCTGCAGCCTGTGGAGAGGGCCATGCTGGAGCAGATACCCATCCTGCAGCCCACAGAGGACTCCACACTGCAGCAAGTGGATATTTCCCTGAAAGAAACTACAACCTATGGAGAGCTCACACCAGAGCAGGGTCCTGACAGAAACTGCAGCCCATGAAGGGGACATGCTGGAGCAGGCTCTCCTGACAGGAAGTGCAGCTCATAGGGGACCCGCACTGGAGCCAGTTTATCCTGAAGGACTGCAGCCCATATGAAGGACCCATACTGGAGCTGGAGAAAAGCGTGAGGAGGAAGGAGAAGCAGAGAGGGGCTGCTATCAACTGACCACCTGGGAGCAGAACAGTAAGAAATGAAGGAGTGAAGTTGAGTCTGTGTAAAAAAGGGGGTGGTGGGAAGGTGTTTTAGTTTTTTTTTGTTTCTCACCATCCAACTCTATTTTATTTGACAATAAATTAAATTAATTTTCCCCAAGTTGAGTCTGTTTTGCCCATGAAGGTAATTGGTGATCTCTCTGTCTTTATCTCAACCTACATCAAGATAAAGCTTTTTTTAATCTTATTTTCCTCCCACCCCCATCTTGTTGAGAAGCAGGAGTGAAAGAGCAGCTGGGTGGGCATTTGGCAATGAGCCAAGGTCAACCCACTACACGTACTACACTTTCAGTGGTATGTCATAATCTTAAGCATTAATTATATTCTCTACAGCCTGTTTAGGCCTTTTGATAGTCTTTTAATTTAAATGAGAAAACTCAGCATCAGCTTTAAGCCTGCTAAAAAAATCTAAATTGGTGGGCTAGTGATAAGCTAAATGTAAGCTTTTTTTTGTAAAATTGCTTACTTTTGCCAGTCTTTAAACCTTTTTTTCTAACCCCTGAATACTAGTTTAACCACTTAGGAGTAAAGAGAAGGCTGGAAGAGCCGGCTTTAAGGAAAATGAGGAAATAAATCAAAATGTGGTACCCTAAATATTTCAAGGGTGCTCAAAACTTATGTTCTGTAGGATAGCCAGGAAGTCACGCTTGATATCCTCCTCCTGCTCATAGTAGTATATATAACATGCTATTTCTGACTACTTGCAGCACAGACAAGTTTCAAATGCAAAAAAAAAAAGTTTCAAATACAAGTTTCAAATACAAAACAAGGAGATTCCTCACAAGCGGGGGCATATGTCCTCTGTGCATCTGACCAATTGTGACTTGTTGCTGGGGAGAAGGCATGATGCCAATGTTGAAAGTCTCTGGGCCACTGGACCCTGAACGCATAACAGCTGGTAGTGCCACAGAGCCATGCTCCACCTTCCCTGTTCGGTTGAACTGCTGCTGCAAGATGGTAGATCTAAAAAAAAAAAAAAAAAACCAAAACCAACACAACCAAAAAAACCAAACAAACCACACCACCAAAACCAACCAAACAAACAAGAAAAAAGAAAAATCCAAAACAGAGAGAATTAGTTAGCTCCTGCAAATCAAGTCCTGCCAGATGTTATTTCTTTAGGATTTTAAATTGCATTTCAGAACATTTGGAGAAGCTGGAAAACTTTACAGTCTTTTTTTTCCTAACCATTTTCTAGCATATTAGAAAAAATGAATCTGGGGCTTTTGGCAGATCAAATACTAATAGCACTAATGAGCAGGCACTAAGGAAAGAAGATAATGTGGAATTTTGGTATATGTGCTACAATGGCTTTACCCCTCTAAGATGCATGACAGACAGAACCAGAACAAGGTTTATGGCATAACAACTGCTTTGTTTTAGTTGTATCATACGCTGGTCAACAGAAAATAGAAGCACGAACCCTGCGGAGATGCATTTTGCAAGCAATCCCTAGATTTGGGATAAAAACTAACATTCATTCTTCGCTCTTTATACACACAGGCACACACAGTAATTGCTAATAATCTGGCAGCCTATCAGATAATGGGCTGGGAGGCAGGATACTTTCAAGAATAGTGAATCTACTGTCATCCGTGGTCATGAACCACTTTGCCTGGTACACTGCTAATATTTAAATATGGTTCAAGCTTTAACAGCTAGAAGCGTTGACAGGAATTCTGGCTCTAACAACAACAACTTGCTGGGGAAAAAAGTAATTTCAATTGTGAAAAATCTTCTATTCATCTATTACAAGTTTTGGGCTTCTCTGCACAGCACTTAGCTAACAGTATATTCTGGAAGGGATTTGGAAACGGCAATGTCAAAAGACAGCACATCTAAACATGTGTGATCCGTCAAAAGTTGAAATTTCACATAAGGCCACGTTAAATATCTAACAAGTCTATCTCCTATAAACCATATTTTTAACAATAAATCAAATAGACTTTTCACACAGACACTGCTGACACTGCCATCCTTAGAGTTCTAAGAAGAGACTTGAGTGGCTCATTACAGCTTATAACGTCACGAACCTATTTCTACTCCTTCACTGCAAGGAAAGATTTAATATTCCTTTTCAAGAGTATAGCCAGCCCTACAGTTCTGCTCTTCGCTATATTCAGTTACTCTCCCATCAGAACCATAGCCTAACCTACTAGTACCAAAGCCCGACCTTTACCCACACCACACATCTGATTGGTTTGTCTAAAGTGGTTTAGTGAAATAAGTCAGCTTTGTTCATGACACAGCGTACAATTAAACTGACAGGAGTCAAATTCACTGGAAACCATGGACCCACAGACACAAGCAACTAAAACGTTGTAAATCCTAAGTGTTTGCATGAAGATCAAAAATCTAATACGACGTTTTCAGCTCTGCGTCATTACTTCCCCCTCAGCATTTTACTGAATTACAGCCTGAGTTCCTTTGATCAAGGGTCAAGTTACCACAAACTGGTACCACTGCTGGTTGCCTTAACCAACATTTTTAAGACAAATACCTGCTCTTCAATCCTTGAATGAAGCTAGGAGCCTGCTGAATTGCCTGGGGATAATACTTCCTTCTATTGAAATACCCTGTAGAAAATGGTCCTTTAACAGTAGTAACTATACTATTTCATTTGAAAAAAGTTGCCACATTTAAAAGGTGTCACTCTTAAATAAAGATCATTTCCTCCTGTTGTATACACTCACTTCTTAGGCGAAACAGATTCTTCCAACATGGTTGATTCCTCATCACCTTCAAGCCCAAATCTATCTTTGCTTTGTTTCTGGAGGGGCAGGGAGGGAGGAAAAAAAAAAAAAGTTAAACAACATGTGTCGCTTTTTGCTTTCTCTCCACCATTTACTTGCTATTTATCAGAAACCTAGTCAAATCATTTGCAGAGTCTTGTCCAGTGCTGAACACCAAACTTCTTGGCAGTGCGTGACAATACAACCTCCACCTCAGAAGAGGTGCCCTTCAGCATTTAACAGACCAGGTTCTAAGCCCTGGCAGATTAAGTGCATAAGGGAAAAAAGCCTATTGGTGCCTTTTTGAACAAAGTGGTATAAAAAAAGTGCTGAGATACTGTCTTTTCTCACAGAAAAAAATATTCTGAGGAGCGAGTGATATGCAACAACAGCAAATCCCAGCACAGATAGGACATGTACCATCCCCTTTCCCATTCTCTCCTAACTCAGGAAGATCAGGCTGACTCAGCTAACTAGGACTCAACTACAAGTCATATTTAGCATTCTGAAATGTTATATATGGTGGTACCTACAACTAGAAAATACATATCCATAGGAAAGATGATAAATTTAATACTGTATCCAAGTTATTTTACCATAGTTCCTTCAAACTTCTGGACAGTCTGCACATCTGACTTTTTGAGGCACTTTTTTATAGTGGTACAAGGGAGTAAATATACACAAGGGCAGTAAGTCTAAACCATTAGAAACAACAGGAAACTACTGTAAGCCCTAAAAGTAGTACATTGTAAAAAAAGTCCATTTCTACTTGTAGCCTAGTGCAAAGATACTGTCTGCTTTCCAATTTGTTATGCGATTTGTAGTGTAAAAAAAAAAAAGTATACCTAGAGAAATATCCACTATGACCTTGGGTACACTTAACAGGAATTCCTCACGCACATCCATACACATGCACCCCCCAACTTTCTCCGAAGTAGTTCTTACTATTATAGTTTGACTTTATGCATGAACTGAAACTGCCTATTTCTAATCAAGATTGTGCCTTACTTCCATATTAATGTGAAGTTAAAAAAAAATATATATATCTAGATTAAAAAATGGTAAAAGTTACTCAAATTCAGGGTTTCCTGTCAACTGACTAATGACCTATCACTAAAATTGCAAGACAAGAGGGGTTGGGGCGTGGGGTGGTGATTATTGTTGCACCAATAATACTTTAGTAGAAAAAAATGTGCCACTAATCCACATCAGAGCAAGTAAGTTGGAACAGTCCAAAACACACCAAGAATTGACATTATGCAACCGAGAGCGATAAACCATACTTTGAGGCATGGATCACAGAGATAACTTGGGCTCGACAATTGAAAACTGCGTGCTTCTCATACACATCATGAAACATCATGCGTGTTTATTACTTAACCTGTTCCTAATTCATTCATTTTAAAACTGGCTGTGTCAGTAGATTGTAAAGAAGAAATCAAAGGACTGGAAAGGAGTGAAAATACACACATCTGTATTCTATTGTCCTAGTTTCTGCTGGGGTAGAGTTAAATTTCTTCGTAGTGCTGTGTTTTGGATTTAGTATGAGAAGAATGTTGATAACACACCGATGTTTTTAGTTGTTGCTAAGTACCCTCCTAGTCAAGGACAGCCTCCATGCTCTACCAAGCAGAGGCTGGGAGGGAGCATAGCCGGGACAGCTGGCCCAGCTGGGCAACGGGGTATTCCATACCATGTGACGTCATGCTCAGTATATGAACGGTAGGCGTGTTCCAGGAAGTAGTGATCGCTACTTGGTCAGCGCAGGTGGTGAGCAATTGCATTGTGCATCACTCATTTTGTATATTTTTCATTATTATTATTATTATTATTATTTTCCCTCTTCTGTTCTATTAAACTGTCTTTATCTCAACTCACGAGTTTTTCCTCTCTCTTACCCTCTGATTCTCTCCCTGTCCCACTGGGAGGGGGGGAGTGAGCGAGCGGCTGCGTGGGGTTTGGCTGCCTGCCAGGTTAAACCATGACGTCTATCAAGACAGAAAGGCTGCTTTCATTTGGCATTAGAGAGCAAAGCTACTTTTGAAGCTTAAGAGCTACAATCAAGTTTTAAACCATCTATAGAAATCTGCAGTTTATTTAAGATTTATTAAATCTGAAACTGACAGCCTCAGAGAAAAAGGCATGTACTGTGATGAATTATGGCAATCCTCCTCAACCTCTGATTTCATTCCATTGGATGTTACATCCTACACTGTTCACATGAACAAAGGCAATAAATTCTCCTGAGCTGCTTAGCTTTCTGTCATTTTTTTACTATTAAAATCTATTACAGCAAATAATGGTGTAGTTTGGTTGAACTTCAGTAAAGTAATAATTTATCAAGGAGCAACCAGTGCTATTTGAAACAGCTCACTTTTCTATTCAAGCATGACTGGCTTAGAGTATGACCATTCAGCGCCACGCTTGTTGGCAAAACTGGTATTTTTTGCTGTTGCGCTTATTTACTTGTGAATATTTTGATTGCTGGAGATGCATATCAGCCTCTCCTCTCTCCCGCCAGGCACACTCCATAAAACCAAGTTTTAAGACAGCTTTGATGCATTATATACAAGAGCTGCCAGGCTACTATTGTGTAGTCCTTAATGTAGTTTTAAATGCCACTTCCACAGGATCGTTTCTTCCCACCTGATTCACCACTTTGGTCCATAGCTTAAAATCCATAGTTGAAGCTTTAAGCTCTTCTCTGGATACACACTCATAGCCAGCAGTTCACCTTCCAGACAGGAAAAACAAAGCCCAAGTGTGCTGTACTGAGCCTGACCCATACTACCCCTATAGTTAACAGCCTTGATATTTTCCAGAAGCACTCACTTAAGTTAAACAGAGAGAACTTATATTACTTAAAGGTAAAAATAAATAACATCAAAACATAAGATACAACACTGACTTCACAAAAGAAAGAAAACTGCAGCTTACACACATTTGAGCTTTTGCACTGCTGTACAGTGATTTTTTTACTGTATTTTTACTACATGTCATCTTAATACTATACCTTCTTTAGGATGATATCAATGTAACCTGCAATTAATTGAGAGATCTGTTCTCCTTCAGTGGTCTGTACTGAGTAATAGCTTTCCTGATATTCACCAAAATCCTGAAGCAAAAGAGGAAAAAAAACCCTCTTTGAACATGGAAAGTAATAAATGAAGAAACCAAATCTGAGTGAGAGAATTCAAGTTTTAAAATTGTTTGTATAGGCATTTTATTATATCCAACAGTAAATGAAACTGCTCCAAGATTCTAAACCTGTCTATATGGGCGGTGAAAGAGGAGAGGCAAAGGATGCTTTTTATTGCAGTTTAATCACAGATGTTTAATAAATTGAAATGCCAGAGGACCAAGAGATACTTAGTCTGATTTTATCAGATTCAGTCACTGAAGGATGGAGAAAAGTCTTTAGAATTTTATTCTAAAGCATAATCACCCATGCAATTGAAAATTAGATCATAGAATCATTAAGGTTGGAAAA